ACATGATTGGTCCACTTTATACAGATTTAACGATATTTCCTTGTCAACAATCCATAATTCATTCTTATAATACAAAATATACATAATCACAGTATGCACTCAATTCAAATCGATGTTTGTAGGATTACTCATTCATTCATTTGTTTGTTTGTTTTCTTTTGTTTTCAGTGTTGAATTGCTGAAATCGAATCGAATCCAACTCCAATATCACAACCAATCACATTCCCATTCATTTCGATTCTCTCTCATTCACTCTTCATTATCATTATCACGTATTACATTCATAATAAATAACTAATACATATCATTGAATGGATTATGATCTTAAGCAATGAATACTATTTCTTCTTTTCCTTAGGCCTTTCTTTCATCCATTCATGATACAAACCATCTCCATGCTATGCAATCTTTGTACATCCAATTCATATTCATTCAATAGATTGTGACCAATTACACAAATGATTCCAGTACTATTCTATTCACATATAGCATACAATCTGTGATAATATCTATGAATCATTCAGTTCCAACCACTATATACCAATCATTGTGCATTCCAACTAACAATAACGGAATTTACTACAAACTCCAATCATTCATTCATCGATTGGTTATTCCAGTACTAAGTATCAACAGTATTGTTCCTGTTACTCATAATTAGTTATTTTATGAAAATGGATTTAACAGAATCAAACATTGTGTTAAACCAATGAAATGACAGAATCGTGTTTGTCTGGATTTTGTTTGTTATGAAGCAAAACTATGCATGATCTATGTAATTCGTATCAGGATGTGCTAAAACAGATCCCTGTGAAATATCATCATTTCAGCTATTGTTCGTCATAATTTGTGAAAATGACTGCATTTCCATTGCTACTTCATACATATGTTATTTTCTACTATTCTATTACATTCTAGTATTGTTGTTGTTTTCATTCATATTGGCCATTTCTGATTATTCCACACATATCTATCTTATTTTCACAGTATTCTATTCCATGGAATATACTAATAAGCCAAAATATACAATCAATCACAAATACACATTATTCTATCTTCCCATACAGAATAATAATGATGATGATGATCACAAAACATCAACTATTCACAATCAATACTATTGAGAGTAACTATTGTGAAGACTCTTGTTTGTTAATACTGCTCATTCCTTCTTTCAACTTATAACACGAACTAGCACCATAATTAGTTGTCACATTTAGAATGTGAATTCATTTGGGCTTTGATACAATTCATATCACACAATATGTACCAAAATGAAACAATACACATTTGTTGTTATTCTATTGCAGATATTCATTTTCCAAGTATTGATTCAAAGTATCTCGAGACTATATTATGCAGATTAGTCATATATCAAAGGAAATACAACAATACTTGTGGTAAATGACTGATTCATCTATCCTTTTTCTATTGATGAGTTCATCTATATTTGATACATGTCACATAACAAAATTGATCCTATTTTCACAATAACAAAAGCTCTTTCGATCAATAATAATATGATTCTTCAACTTGTAGCTATCTTAAACCTCATTAATATGGAACAATAGTAGTAAGGGAATGGCACTATTTGTGTGAAACCTGGTGGCAGTTTTCTTTATATGCTATTTTGCTCAATGACCACAATTGCGATCATTTGTCTATTGATGTAATCGACCAACCGATTCTGAGTCCTCGACTATCGTTCCTAGGCTGTCTGGTCGACAATCATCAGTCAGGAACCAGGTTTTGTGCTTTCTTACACCAATTCCTTTCTACTATCAACCTAGTGCTCGTTTCTATTTTTGTGCTTGTTGCGTCAGTTATACTTGGATGCAAGAAAGTAGTAGGCATACCTAGCTAAGGTGAATTATTGTTATTTCTCTCGTATTTACATGTTTGTTTGCTTATTTAAAATGACCGAAAGCCAATATGTGTACATTGTCATCACAAATCCATTTATTGTTGTCCGTGCAAGTCATAAGTGTCTTTGGTAAAGAAAGAACATGCATTATTCCATTCTCATACAAGATTCACCTATCAATGGTTCATTCGATTCAATCAATCAATAGAAAGGTGTATGGTTCGATTTGATCGATGGTACAGTTCGAAGACATAATGCAAGGAAGAACAGAGACATCGGATATACACCCAATGACATTTGGCTTAACTACAACAACGATATCTTGTACATGGAGAAAACAGAACCATCCAACATGACAGCAAAGGACACAACACCTCAATTCGATGTTGGTGATTATGTTGGAGTGACACGAAGACCTCACATTCTGGAAAAGCGATCATTGACGAGCAAATAGTCTCAGGACTTGGTTGAAGTTGTTGACATTGACGATCGATTCATGCCATTGATATACGAAGTGAAGAATGTGGAAAGCAATAGCACACAGAAGTGTTATCACTGGGAACTGCTGGCAAGCAAATGCAAACCACAACCAGCACCACCCATTACTCGATCCAAGAGTGGTAAAGAATCCAATGCATTGAGAGAGGCAGCAAGGTCACATCGACCCATTACAAGCACCCAGAAGAAGAAACAGAAGAAACAACAACAACAACCTGGCCATGGTGTTCGAAAACAATCGTGATGCTCTTCACACCTCCCAGACATACAAGAGAAGAGATATTCGCGAATACAGAGATCGTATAACTCTCCCTTGTCCATTCTATTCCATTTATCAGTTTGGTATGGGAAAGGGTCACAAGATTGTTGAGTATATCGATGAATGGCACATCGAGCAATCACACACCATCCATTGAAACACTCACCTTGTATCCCTTATCCACAACCGATTCGATGGAATCACAATATTTGAATAGGGCATCATTCTCATTGTAACATGAAATCGATGTGATTATCAGATATAAACCCGAAGATAATTGGAATTGGCATTGATTATTGAATGGTTGAGTGGATGTGGATGTATGTTCAAAGATTATGGTATTATTGATTATCACAAAACACTCAGAAGGTGTCGTCCATGAATATTGATGAACGCCATCCACTGTCTCACACACGAGGACATATTTGCCATCGTTCTCTGGCATATTGATGAGCATGTTATCGAGTTTCTTGAACGTGTAATTGTTTGGATTGCTGCTGAATATGTACGACATTGATTGATTCAATTTACTAAGGTTGATTTCGTTCATAGGGTTTGACACATACACTCTTCAACAAGCTCAATTCATATTCGAATATGTGAACATATTGAATGAGAAAAGAGCCAAATCCAAGACCACTGTGGAGAAGAACCTGTACTAGTTATTGGCAAACTCGACACATGGCAAATGTGTGGATACTGGATTGAAACGAATGAAAGAGAAGGTCGCCACCACATGGAATGAACGCAAAGCCATCATTCAGAAGCATGGATACGATATGATCGCAAGAAACACCATGTATTCCGGAACCTGATCGGTATCAATCGGAATACTCCAGTGAGGAATGTAGTGAAACCATTCTTCATCAGATTTGCTATACTGGACATGTCCAAGCACATCATATACGATTTCTACAACAATGTACTCAAGAACACATTCGATAACGTGGAATTACTGGAACAGGACACGGACTCACTCATCGTACAACTGAGAAACAAAAGCAACATCGTTCACAAGATGTATGACATGTACAAATCACTCAATTTCTCAGAATTGGATAACACGAACTATTTCTATGGGTAACTTGTGAACTATTACGATCAGAAAGTGGACAAAAACAAATTCCCTTCGTTGTCCTCATTCCTCAACATCAACAAGAAGCTGCCTGGACCCATTTTGAAGGATGAACACAACGGGCATCGTATTACCGAGTTTGTGGGACTCATACCCAAGTTGTATTGCCTGGTTGATGAGAAGAATGTAGTACACAGCGCGGCATAGGGAGTTCTACGGAATGTGACAATCGATGGTGAGAAAATGATTGTAAAGAACATCGATTTGTACAATCGTGTACTTGAAGCCAAGATGAAGGGAGATGGAGTGCTCGAGGGTACATTCAAGCATATCAACAACCAGGCATTCACAATCAGCACAAAGGATCAAACCAAAACACTCATGAATTAGGTGGATAACAAGAGATGGATCTTGGCCGATAATATACATACATTGGCATTTGGTCATTACCGATTGGTTGATCAGTATAGACAAGTTTTTGTTTTCACTTTGGTCGGAACAGGACTATCATAGAAATGATGTAGGGATTCTAATGCATGTAAGGGTTGATCCAGAAGAACGGGCCATTCCTGGTGAGCTTTGGATGAGTATGGAGTAGTGTGTGGTTTGCCTCTCTTTATTATTGTCAGCAGGACGAACAGGGGGAGTAGTTGTGTAAGACAGTATACTGAACCGCCAGCAGTGATATGAAAGGCACGCAAATTTGATCCCTGACGACAAAGAGCTGATGGAAGTTATGGTGTTTTGGCGCGAAAAAAGGCGGCCATGAATTATCGCGGAATACACGTCAGTGCCTAACTACGAATTCGTTTAATTTCACTTTATGTGAATCAAAAGTGATATCAGAAATATGATTTCTTCTGTTTGGTTTTCGATGGATTCATTCATACCGAATCCTTTTTCACTTGTTGTAGTTTTTATTGCTCTTTTGTTTTTATGAATAATTGTCATGACCTTTAGGAATTTGATGATAATACCATTTGAACCTTTTTCAATCTCTTCTTGTACGCAACCAATGTGTATTTTGAGAACATGATTATTCGTCAGACTGCTACTGTTAATACAATGAAGGTTATCACTTTCATTCATGCTATTTGAATGTACTTGCCATGTCTTGTCGGAAACACACTCTTTCATTCCTAACTCTTTTATCTCGTGTTTGTAACATGGTTGCTGCCTGTATTTGTAGATTCCTAGAGTTGTGTCCAGTTGCTAGCATGATAGATCCTAACAGTCGTGAATTGCTTTACTCTGATAAAGTGTTCAATATCAGCTTTCCATAACTTCTACCTGACGGACGCCCCTTCTCTATTCCTCTCCTCCCTCAACTCTTTTTAAAACAAACAACACAAATACCAATCCACCAACAGTCTGACAGTAGAACTCTTACTTCAAAGGAATGAACTTCGAAGAGTGAGTAGCACCAATACCAGGCCGGTTGTGCTTCACAGGCTGGTAAGTCAACGAGAACTCGCCCAAGTAGTGACCAATCATCTCGGCCTTGATTTCAACGTTGTTGAAACTCTTTCCGTTGTACACACCCACAACAGAGCCGATCATCTCAGGGACCACAATCATGTTACGAAGGTGAGTCTTCACAGGCTGAGGACGCTCATTCTCGGGAGTGTTCGCCTTCTACACGCTCACTTCACATAGAAAACCATGTACAGCAATGCGCAGTCTCTTTATCAGAGCCTGGGGCTTTCTCTTAAGACCACGACGGAAACGACGACGAGCACGGGCCTTTATGTCCAAAATCACTCACAATACCTACATCAACAAGCTCCATCAAATCCTTCAAGGGCATGTCCAGCAACTTGTCCAAGTCCACTCCGCGGTAAGTAAACTTCTTGAAAGTTCTCTTCTTCTTCTGCTCTAAGTTTGCAGCAACGTTATTAGCCTATTATACCGTTAGAAAGTCCCTTTCCGTAAACATGCAACACTTCTCACGCCTCAACACTCCAACCACTCTAAACACACTTCGACTTACTTCCTCAGACATTTTGGCTTTCTGGTAAGACTATCTGTGTATATGGAATAATCAACTAGAGTGAAACGCCCACTGCCCCTAAATTCATTATACTTATTATTAATACTTTACTCGATTCATCAAGTGGTCCATTCTATTTTTACCTATTCTATATTAAACGCGCACTCCTTAATCACACAAATTGTCTCATTTATTGCAATCACCCTCTGAAGAGTCGCACCGAACTTTTTATTGCCATTTGTCCAAAAAGGCTTTTTAAGCATCTTGATACTTTCCACTCGACTCCGGAAATACAAAACAAATGTTTAAAATAGAAAAAAAGGTCAAAGAGAATTCAAATACGAAAAGCAAATAAAATCCATCTAGTAATTGAGCCAATATGTACTTGGAAGAAATCATTTTAGATGGATTTAAGAGTTATGCTAATCGTACAGTGATCTCTGGCTTTGACAGCAAATTCAATGCGATTACAGGACTAAATGGAAGTGGGAAGTCCAATATTCTGGATGCGATCTGTTTTGTCTTAGGAATTACCAACTTGTCTCAAGTATGCTTCTTTTTGATAACAGGTTATTACGTATTAGGTCCGTGTAAAGAATCTACAGGAATTAGTGTACAAACAAGGCCAGGCGGGCATCACGAAAGCAACAGTAACGTTAGTATTCAACAACGAGCGCAGTGATCAGAGTCCTATTGGATACGAGCAGTATGACCGAATCACAGTGACTCGTCAAGTGGTGATAGGTGGACGCAACAAATACTTGATTCAGGGCCACAACGCCCAAGTGAACCAAGTCCAGAATCTATTTCACAGTGTTCAGTTGAATGTGAATAACCCCCACTTTCTGATCATGCAAGTACTGCACTACGAAACCGTTGAAATATAGGGACACATTACGAAGGTCCTGAATATGAAACCAAAGGAGATTCTTGGTATGGTTGAAGAAGCGTGTGGTACTCGGCTGTATGAGATGAAGAAGGCTCAAGCCCAGAAAACGATGGAAAAGAAAGACGTGAAAGTATCGGAGATAACGAAGATTTTGGAGGAAGGTTAAATCGCTCGTGGGTTGCAAGCTGTAGATATCACTCCGACTCTCGAGAAGCTGCGGGCGCAGCGCAGCGCGTATCTTCAGTGGGCGTCGAACTCCACGGAGATTGAGCGTTTGCATCGTCAAGAAACAGCGTTCGAATACTACTCGGCTCGTCAAACGCTGCACGACGGAGCCGAAGAAAACAGGCTGATAGCGGAGGAGCTCAACCTGGAGAGCGCGATAAACCGGTTGAAAGTGTGCGGAAGGGTCGGAGTCAGAGGTAGAATCGAAGCGAGGAAATCGAGCGGAAGGTGAAGGCGATCCAATCCAACTCCAAAGCAAGCGCGGACGCGGACGAGTTGAGTGTGAGAGAGGGACGAGCGAGTCATCTAGAGGTTGGAGCGCGAACGCTCGAAGGATTTGATCCGCGAGAACGCGAGCTACAGCAGCGAAATAACCGCGATGGACCGGGAGAAGCAGGAGCTTCGGTTGGCGGAGAATCGGTTCCAGAGCATGACGCAAAGCGTGGAGGAGGCCGCGACGTTGGCTCGCGTGCGTGCTGAGGAGGCGTGTAATGCGTAGAGAAAGCGAATCGAGGCGGAGAATCGCGCGAAGGAAGCGAGCGAAGAGCGTGTGCGGCTCGAAGAGCTCGAAAAGCAGTTGGAACACGCCAAGCAAGGCGATGTCGGATCCTCCGGATCCTCCGGATCGTCCGGCCGAAGCTTTGGCGACTTGGTGGAAGCGGTAGGAGCGCGAGATGGAGGTGAGAACTAGCAACGACGCGTGCAGTTGGAACAAGCGAGCAAGATCAAACAGCTGCGCCAGCAATTGGCGGCGTCGGAAGCCGAGCTGGAGCGAATCAACGCGACATTGGATCGAAGTGCTGGCGAGCGAGCGAAGAACGAAGCGGAGCTAACGGCCTGTCGAGATCGCGTGAACAAGCTGCGTTCAGAGCTGAGCAGCATCGGGTTGGACAGCGGGGAGTACGAGCACGCGCAGCAATCGCTTCGAGTCGATCAAAATGAACGGGAGTGACGATCAGAACGTGGAGGCGGAGCTCGAACAAGTCCGAAGCGCGTGCGATCGCGCTGAGAGCCAAGTGAGCAGTCTGCGATTCAGCTACAGCGATCCCGAGCCGCACTTCGATCGCTCGCGCGTGAAAGGCCTGGTGGCGGAGCTGATCGAAGTGCGCGACGAGCGTTTCACCAACGCGATCGAAGTCTGCGCGGGCGGGAAGCTCTACCAAGTGGTGGTGGACACGGACGAGACGGGCAGCGCGCTGCTGAAGAAAGGCCGCTTGCAGCGGCGCGTGACCATCATTCCGCTGAACCGAATCCGCCACCACACGCTCCCCCCCGCGAAAGTGCTCCAAGCGCAGCGATTGGCGCCGCAAGGGTCGGTTTCGCTGGCGCTCACGCTGGTGGGGTACAGCGAGAGCGTGCAGGAGGCGATCGAGTACGTCTTCGGGACCACGCTGGTCTGCGAGACGCTCGACGTGGCGCGGAAAGTGGCGTTCCACCCCGGCGTGCGCGCGCGGACCGTCACGCTGGACGGCGACATCGTGGATCCCTCCGGGGTGTTGGAGGGCGGCGCGCGGAGCCGCAGCGTCCCCGTGCTGCAGCTGCTGGCCGAGGCCAACCAGCTGCGCGATCGGCGCGTGGCGCTGGAGCAGGAGGCCGCGCAGCTTCGAGCGAGCTTCGAGCGGCTGCGCGGGAAGCGGCAGGAAGAGCAGCGCGTGCAGGGCAGACTGGAGCTGGAGCTGCACAACATGGAGGTGCTGGAGAGAAGCGCGGGAGGCGAATCGACGCGACTGGAGAGCGAGAAGGCGGCGAGAACGAAGGAGATCGCGGAGCTGCGAAGCCTGCTGGAGGAAGCGGTGGGCGAAGAAAAGCGCGGCGAAGCGCATTTGCGAGATCTGGAGGCGAAGGAGCGGGAAATGAAAGCGGCGGGCGCGAGTAGCGTGCAGGCGCTGATGGAATCGGTGGAGGCGTGTCGCCAGAGCGCGAAGATGAAGGCGAAAGCGGCGGAATCCGGAGCGAACGAAGCGGAGGAGCAGCGATTGGAGGAAGAGGAGCAGCGACGACAGCTGGGGGAGATGGAAGCGGCGATCGCTGCGCAGAGAGAAGCGCTGGCGACGCACGCGAAGGTGGTGGAGGCGCTGGAAGCGAAGATGCGCGCGATGAAGGAGGAGTACGATCGCGTGAAGCGCGAAGCGACGGCGAAACGCGAAGAAGCGCACCGGCAATCGGAGGAAGTGCAGGAGTATCAGCGCGAATTGGAGGCGCGGAATCGCGAGATGGAGGAGGCGGAAGCGAAGCGAAAGCAAGTGGCCGGGAGGAAGGCGAAGCTGCAGAAGGCGCGCGCGGACGCGGAGAGCCGAATGCAAAGCCTGCTGAGCCAGTTCGCGTGGCTGAGCAGCGAGGAGAGCGAGTTCGGGAAGGAGGGAACGGACTACGACTTCGCGCGCCTGGACCCGAAGGAGCTGCGCGCGCGCATCGCGAGTCTGGAGGAGGAGCAGGAACATTTGGGGCGTCGGCTGAACAAGAAAGTGCTGGGGATGATGGAGAAGGCGGAGAGCGAGTACCAAGAACTGCTCAAGAAGCGGCGGATCATCGAGAACGACCGCAGCCAGATTGTGAAGGTGATCGACGAGCTGGACATCAAGAAGAAAGAAACGCTCGCCTCGACGTACGCGAAGGTCAATCGCGACTTCGGCTCGATCTTCAGCACGCTGCTTCCAGGGGCTTCCGCGCGCCTCGATCCCCCCGCAGGCGGGACGGTTTTGGACGGGTTGGAGGTCCGCGTGGCCTTCGGAGGGAAGGAGAAAGAGTCGCTGTCGGAGCTGAGCGGCGGGCAGCGATCGCTGCTGGCGCTGTCGTTGGTGCTGGCGCTGCTGCTGTTCAAACCGGCGCCGATGTACATTCTGGACGAAGTGGACGCGGCGCTGGATCTGAGCCACACGCAGAACATCGGGAGGATGCTGAGGAAACACTTCGGACAGAGCCAGTTTATCGTGGTGAGCCTGAAGGAGGGCATGTTCACGAATGCGAATGTGATCTTCCGAACCAAATTCGTGGATGGAGTGAGCACGGTGACGAGGACGGTGGGGCAGATTCTTCAGGATGAGGAGAGAGAGGGAGAGGGAGAGAAGGGGAAGGAGAGTAAGCGGAGACACAAAAGTAGTTGACAATGTTTGTTTTATGAACGGGACAGCACTTTCGAATGACAGTATTGTTAGATATATCGTGCAGAACGTCACGGAGCATCTTCAAGAAGATGAAAAGGACTCGTTTATGCTTGCGTATGCTTTGATAGCGCTAATAGCCTGTTTAGTGATATCGTTTGTTTTTCATTGTGAAGGGTAACCGTGTAGGATGTGGATTTCATATAAAATGAGTTGGTTCCCTTCGGTTACAGTCTATTTGGTTATTGGTTACATTTTGCAAAAATTTATTGTATTTAAGCTTTCTTCAGAATATAATGAATCTGTTCGGGATAATTACGGTCAATATACCTCTCTCCTAACCTTATGTTTCTTGCCTTTTCAAATGTTTCAATATGGGTATATCACTTTATTATTACATTCATTCTAGATTTAAACTGGACGCACAGCAGTTCTTCAAGAACATCACTACCATTACCACCATTTCTGTTTGCGGATCAATTCTTTTCATCTTTCTCTTTTCATTCCTGCTAAGTAATCTGTGTGCTCTCCTGGGTCTCCGTCCTCTCACCTTTTGGAATACGTTAGCTTTTGCTGCAGCCATGTCAGCCTCTGATTCTTCGTTTATGGCTCCATTTCTAGAATCAATCGGTTGCCATAGTCGTATTCTTTCGATTCTTGAAGGCGATACGATTCTATCCGAAGTGATTTCGATTTTGGTTTTTCGTACCGTCGTTGAATTGCAGGTGAACGAAATGGACGGCGTTTTGGTGATTGAAGGATTGAATTACTTTCTCTCCTTTCTTGTGAATTCGTTTTTGATTGGAATTGTGACGGGAGTCGCAGCTTCGATGCTGTTTAAGTGGATTATTCCTTCAAGCGATGAGGTTGGAGTAATCGAAGTGATTCTGTTCTTTTTAATCCCGATCATTTCGTTTATGTTAGCAGAAGGAATGCATGTTTCGAGTTCTATTTCGATTCGAATCTGTGGATTTATAATGTCCTGTTACACTCAATACAATTTGAATAGTGAAACATATCCTTATAGTTTTTTGATTGATTGATTGATTGAGTGAGTGAGTGAGTGAATGAATGAATGAATGATCGATTGATCGATTGATTGAATGATTGAATGATTGAATCATCGATTTGTTGATCAGTATCTTATCGTCAATTTGATCCATTAAATCATTGAATATTTTTGTTATATTTTTACATTCCATGTTCCTTCACATTCACCCGCTTTTTCGTACATAAGATGGTTGATTTGCTTGGTTCGCTCTCTGAACTCTGCTCTTTCCTTGTTATTGGAATGATCTCCTACAATGTCAAGCCATTTGAAGTCCATTGGAGTTGGATTCTCCTCATTACCATCATCGTATATGTCAGTCGCTATGCCTCGGTTACGGGAGTTATGGCAACAGTTTTGCAGTGGGTCGATCCTAAGATCAAATGGCTGGATCAGAACCAGTCGGTGCTCCTTTATCTCGTTTATCGAGGCTCGATGTCATTTATTTTGACCGCGCGCGCTGAGGGAGAGCTATTAGCGAATGATCAGGTTGTGTTTATGATGCGCTTATCGCTTTGTTTGATTTGGGTATCGCTGATTCAGCAGATTTTGTTTTCATTTTCTCTTTCGTCTTCAGTCCAGTATGAAGAGCTTCTCTTAGCTGATCCTCTGAAGGAGGAATCGACTGAAATGGAATCAATGTCTTTTGTGGCTATGCTGAATCGCTGGGTCTATGCGTTGTTGGTTCGGGATGAAGGCAATGATGAAGAGAGGGAATTGTTGCAGAACAACGATTCAACGAGTGAAAAAGAAATGTTGGTGTGTTCTCTTTGATCGAACAAACAAGCCAAAGTGACGGCAAGTGCAATAGATTATCTATATCTTGAAAATATGGCTATTCTTAAACCACGCCATTTCCCATACATGATGAATCACTTCTTCGATTGTTATCCGTTTTTGTGGATCCAAAACTAGCATACTTCGAATCAAATCCAGCTTCTGCTGGTTTTCTTCGCCTTTAAAGTCAAAATTCGTATCTCGATTCCGAATCGTTTTCTATTTCTCATTTCCTCCCGCTTCCTTCCACCTTCAATACATTCTGAATGCAATCTTTCATCGCTGGACCTCCATCCATGGCACTCACGCAATACGATCGCATCGTCATGGCGTAGCATTTGCTTTCCGCCTTGTCTCCCTACCTTCCATCATCGCCTCCATCGCTACATGAAACAACTTCAGCTTTGCGTATTGACGAGGCTCGCACTGAAAGAATTCCTTGTGTCCAAAGATCATTTCAAGCATCATGACACCAAGACTCCAAATATCATAACTCTACACAAATGAAAACGATTGCAACCGCGAACCTGCGTGAACTGATTCGTGGAAGCTTCAGGAGGAGCGTACAACTTCGTGCATTGATCCATGGAAGCAGGAATCGGATATAAAGCCGGAACCTCAGGCAGAATCGACGATCCAAAATCGATCTGCGCTAAAGGAGAAGAAAAAAGAAAAACCAAATTCACAGTTAGCGCGTCGTAATCGATTTTGTTATGCACGAGGCGGAGATGGGAAATCAGAACGTTTTCTGGCTTGATATCGCGGTGAATCACTCCCCTCTTATGAATCTTCCGCACCACCAAGCAGATTTTGTACAGCACGACTTTGTACAACTCGTCGTTCTCTCTCATCTTCTTCCAGAACTCCTGCTTTTCACTCCTTCTCCATGTCACTACCGAAGGTCGCACCATCATCCCTTCTCCCGTTTTCTCTGTTTCCCTTTCTCCCATTCTCGACGAACCTGCAGAGCGTTCCGAATCCGCAGAACTCGCAGGTTGATCGAAGCGGATCGGCGCTTCTGCGTCTGAAGCACTCCGAAGATTCGGCAGACTCAACGCTTCCGTTTCTGGCTGAGTCTGTTGAATCTTGGGAGGCTGCTTTTCGTTCTCTTCCCTCCAAAACCATTCCGCGATTCGCTCTCGAGAAGCAGGCGACACCGCCGAGTTCTCTTCATCGCAGGCCTTTCTGGAAGCAGAGGATGTGTAGATCATTTGGGAGAGCGAGACTCCTTCATACTCGAACACGAGCCACGGAATAGAAATGATTCGATCGGGTAGGGAGGGACTTTGATTCATTAGCAGTCCCATTTCTTGAAGAAAACATTCCTTGTATCTGGGATGATAAAGCGAAGAAGGGGAAGCCTACTGAGCGATTCCTTGAGTTCCTCGAAATAGAGTTCCCATGAAAATTTCTCGACGAGCAGAAAAAAGGCTCTCGATTCCTTTTTCCTAGTTATTATGATTTGAAGGGAGAGTCACAATTCGAATACGTTTCAACACGGAGAGCGAGTGGTCAGCAACACTTCGAGCCATCCACACATGGCCGAAGGACCCACTACTAAGCATACTTTCGGAAATTACATATTTTCGCTGGCTACTAAATTGGGAACAACCCAAATTCATGTTGTTTACTAGATTATCTATATTATAAAGTCTCAAAAGGAAGAAACCAAATAAGTCTTCTGCGTCAACGGATGGTATAGATATCGATCTCTCAGAAGCATCCATAACATTCGCAGTGATTTGAAAAGGCTCGTAAACAGTAATACTCTTTGTATGTCCTGACGCCAAAAAGGGAAAATGTTTAATTCTACAAATTAAGAGAATCATAGTGTACTCACAAATTGTTATCGTATACAAATAGCAAATTCTCTTTTCCAGTCTTTTTGTTTGTCGAGTACCTAGACGGAAAAGAGTTTATCAACTCGTATTGATCCAGAGGACCGATCTGTTTTTCATTCAACTCTTCATCACTTGAGATCATCAAGACACTCTTTCTCTTGTCAACTACAACACTTTCCGCACTTAGTACGGTATAAAGGACGAGCATGGTACAAATTACCTCTTTCAGTCCGTAACTACAATATCGGTGACTATCCAACTTCATTGAGTGACTTTGAACAACAAAAGCAGCTTTGGTTGTTCCAATTAAAGTTGTTTTTGTATATTTGATGAAATCAATCCGAGGAACAACCCACCGAGTTGCTGGTTTTGAGTGAATGAGGCATCGTGTAATTTTCTGTAGGATATCTCGGTATTTTCATTCTAGATTACGGAATCGAAGTAAATAAAATGCTCTGGATTCGTAGAGGGCGAATAATATACTCTCTTGTGAGGACTGGAGTGGTTCTACCTCAAGGCTCAACAGAGGGTATTTCTATCACAGAGCGATTTCTTTAGTTTTATATACTCAATCGCTTATTGAATAAGGTAGGATGTTTTGTTGCTAATAATGGATCTTATCCATAGATGGTGAAGTTTCTTAAGCCCGGAAAGGTTGTAATCATTCTCGCTGGTAAATATGCCGGAAAGAAGGCCGTTGTTGTGAAGGTGAACGAGGATGGAGACAACAAGTACAAGTTCCCTTACGCTGTCGTGTGCGGTGTTTCTAGACCTCCTCGTAAAGTGCTTACGAAGATGTCGGAGAAGACCGTGAAGAGAAGAACCTCTATGAAGGTGTTCACCAAGGTCATGAATCTCCAGCACTTCATGCCTACGAGGTGGGCGATTTCTCCACTCAAATTCCATTTTAGATACAACGTCGAGTTTGACTTCGCCGATCTTCCCAAGGAGAATGCTGAGCCTGCTGAAAAGAAGACCTGCCTCAAGAAGATTGCCAAGACCTTCCAGGAGTCGTATGTGCATTTGATTTTAATAATTCACAGTTACCTTAACCAGAACGACATCAAGAAAGAGAGAGCCAAGGCTGGAGTTGCCTATCTCTTCAAGAAGCTGCACTTCTAAGCGGATTCGCAGGCTTGCATGACGCGGGTTTTCTTTCTTTGAGTATTGCGTGTTTTCACAAACAAACGAGTTTACAATTAGTATTTGTGAGTAGAGTTGATATTCGGCCCGGGAATTCCTGTTGTCTGGGTTCTTGGTTCTAGAAATGAAAAGAATGGAGTATACAAACGTCCCGCTGTCCATCGATAGGATTGATCACTTTGTTGGTCTACTGATCAGCCATGAATAGAATGAGAATACTATATAAATAGGGATTATCGCTTTGAATTCCATAACTCTTCCCTCCAGTGTATGATGGAGGAGCTGGGCGACGAAACGTATCCGTGGCAGACGAATAATAGGGATTTGTATTTGTGTTTGTATTTACATTTGTATTTACATTTGGATACAAAGGACTGTGATAAGGCTGGGTCCCTGTCGAAGCCACATTGCCTTGGTATGTAGGTTGCGCGGAATACGAGGAAGGATAGGGTGTTTCCATCTCACCAAACAAAACAAACTTAATTCTGGAGAGCAGGCTTCGGAAGAACCCCTTCTTCGGTTGATTCAGAATGGGGTTGAAGGACGAGGGCTGTGAAAACAGCGGCCGATTCGAGGAATCCTCCAAAATAAACATGGTTTGGTCCGACGGATTGTTCCATGCAGCGTAGTTTGCGTACATTCCGTTCGCCTGGTCGTTCTGCTGCTGCTGAAACTTCGTTGCCACCTCCTGGAATTTTTGCAGCGTATTTATATCCGGCTATAGAGAAACAGGAAGAAAGATTGAGTACGAAGATGAGCGTTTTGGGATCGACAAAGCAATCAAAGGAGGAATACAGAGTATAATCAAGCATCCTGCGAATGCTGCTTTTGTTCTACGCTTGAATTCGCCTCCAATCAAAACGTCGGAGAGATAGTTCTTGAAATTCTGAAGCTGCGTTCGCACATCACTCAGAGTGAATTCTAGATACTCCCGACTGAACAAAACATCATCTGCGACGTGAGCTTTCCTCTCTTGAACCAAAACTTTGGGCTGTTAAGTATTCGCTCTGCAGAAAGTTGAAAATCGTCGTGCATTCCTTCTTTCTAGACTTCATTCTCTCTCTCTGCATTGCCACACAATTTCACGATTTGGATTTGTCCGGAGATGATTCCAAGCAGAATCAAGGCGACAAACACAGTGAGAGAGATTTGAGAGGAAGGAGTGCAGTTCAGCAGAATGAAGAGCGGAGCAAGCTTCATGATGGCTAAGACAAGACGTCGCGTGGATGATTGGAGTTTGTTCACCATGGAAAAAGTGTAATACAGCGAAACTCCAAGACAGACGCTGCAATATCTAGATTGGAAAGAGTTGTGAGGGAGCACATGATGAAAGGAAGTGTGTGTTGTGAAACGATGTTTGTGAGGAATAAGTAGAAGGAGTGGGAGAGGCAGCAACGCACGACCGTTCCAATTAACAACAATTTCAGCGCAAACTTCAGTGGCTTTGTGCGAAGAACTCTTCATGAACAGGAAGAATGAAGTGGATACGAAGAGATGACCAAATATAAAACCACGATGAAAACAAGGATCGGAGAAAAAACTATGAAGACTGTATAGTAAAAGAATTCATTCGCAGAGAGACTACAATAGTGAATGGAATTAATGACTACGCTTTTGCGTTGTGAAAGATAACATAGCCGATGATAAGAAAACAAAGATACTGATAGGAAAACTCTGGAGAAAAAACAACACACGAGAAAAACTACCCCTTGATATTTGAATCCGAATATCCATTTGCTGGTTAACGTTTTTGTAGTTGTTTGTCAGAGTAAGGTAGGAAACACCGAATGGGGACAAGTAAACAGTGGAAGTTGATTCTCCAGACCGGATTCCATCGTAGAAGAATCCATAATTCAAATATCGTTTGCTGCTAATGATTCACATGCAAGACAAAGACCTTATTATAGAATCCAACATACTCGTAGCAAGCCGGATAAGTGAAGAATCAGGACTATCAACCATATAGGAGTATTCCTTCAAATTGGAGGAAATAACAAACTTCTGCACGAACCAGATATTTTTAAATGAATTTGTTCCATTTATGCGGAGTGTGATGCTTTGTCCTTTGTCCAGCTAGAAATCACGTTCTCATTAGAAAAGTCCGACATGTACAGTTTTGTAGTATACCGGCTTATCCTCCATTCCATGTACTACACATAGAATTAGACAGAATAAAAAGAACCCATTTTTAAAGTTCATTTTGATAACAAACAGAAAGCAGATAGAACATACCATTAGCAGCGATATCCCTTACTAGAAATGAAGCAATAATTTCAAAACTTACAAGATCATCATCTTCATTGTCGGTTTCATTGAACACTTCAAGTGTATTATACTTGGTGTTAATCGAATGAATATAATTGCGAATATTCAAAAGTTGCTGGCTCGTGTAACTCAGGCGCGAGTTCGGGCTCGTGGGGGATGATTCATCAGCCTCCAAAATGTCAAGATTATGCGACATTCTGTCACTATTCTCTCCTGTTTCTTCTTTATTTTCCTCTGCTTTTTGAGGAACATGATGGAGCTCAGCTAGTCTTTGCTGATGCTCTGCCATAAGTCTTGTCTTTTCTTCTTCTTCTTCTTCTCTTCTTTTTATCAGTTCTTCTTCTCTTTTCCTTCTTAATTCTTCCTCTCTTTTCCTTCTCATTTCTTCTTCTCTTTTCCTCATTTCCTCTTCTTCTCTTTTTCTTTTTAGTTCCTCTTCTCGTACCCTTCTTAGTTCTTCATCTCTTTTCTTGCGTTCTTCTTCTTCCCTTCTCTTTTTCATTTCTTCTTCTCTTATCCTTCTTAGTTCTTCCTCTCTTCTCTTTCGTTCTTCTTCTTCTCTTTTCTTTCTCAATTCTTTCTCTCTTTTTCTCTTCATTTCTTCTTCTCTTACCCTTTTCATTTCTTCTTCCCTTTTTCTTCTCAGTTCTTCCTCTTCCCTTCTCTTTTTCATCTCTTCTTCCTCCCTTATTCTTCGCATCTGTTCTTCTCTCCTTTTGCGCTCCTCTTCTTCTATTCTTCTTCTCATTTCCTCTTCTTCCCTTCTTTTTCTCAATTCCTCTTCTCTTCTTCTTTTCAATTCCTCTTCTCTTCTTCTTCTCATCTCTTCTTCTCTTCTTTGTCGTTCTTCTTCTTCCCTTCTCTTTCTCATCTCCTCTTCTCTTTTTCTTCTTCTCAGTTCTTCCTCTCTTCTCTTTCGTTCTTCTTCTTCCCTTTCTTTTCTCAATTCTTCCTCTCTTCTTCTTCTCAATTCCTCTTCTCTTCTCTGGCGTTCCTCTTCTTCTCTCTTTCTTCTCAATTCTTCTTCTCTCCTCTTTCGTTCTTCCTCCCTTCTTCTCCTCATTTCTTCTTCTTCTTTCCTCTTTTGCTCTTCTTCTTTTCTCCTCAATTCTTCTTCTTCTCTTTTTCTCCTCATTTCTTCTTCTTCTTTTCTCTTTCGTTCTTCTTCTTCTCTCTTTCTTCTCAATTCTTCTTCTCTCTTTCTTCTCAATTCTTCTTCTCTCCTCTTTCGTTCTTCCTCCCTTCTTCTCCTCATTTCTTCTTCTTCTCTCTTTCTTCTCATTTCTTCCTCCCTTCTTCTCATGTCTTCTTCTTCTTTTTTCCTCTTTTTCATTTCCTCCTTTTGTTTTTCCTTCCTCATATTCTCAGCTAGAGCTGCCAAATCCTCGTCACTATCTTCTTCAATAACTTCACTTGCATCATTTTGAAATACGGCAACTACACTAAACAAAACAATCTAGACGAACCTGCTCTGCTCATTTCTTCTGTAGAGCCTCCTGTGTTAAGATGATTCAAGACAATAAAGCGAAAAAAGTGAATTAAGCCTACAGCAATGCGATAATTCTATCAACACATCGAACACAACAAGCTTACATCCTTATCAACAAAATCTTTCCATGAAATAAGTACAGCCTGATCCAATCCAAGCTTCTTAAGTCCTTCATTGAACAAAAACAAATTCTCGCTTCTAAATATAACAACATTCCCTAAAATTAAAAAGATCCCCAAAGAGTGAACTAGGATTTCTATGCCATCTTCCTAGAGAGACTTGCGGAAATAATCTCTCAAACAATTCACATAACACCTAGAATAACATGTAGAATTTAAAAATACCACTCCACTATTAAGCGACTCCGATAAATCTACACTAACTTCATGTCCCGTGACTTTCTTAATAACAGAAGCCACAGACTCGCACAATATCTTTGTATCAATAGGAGATTGTATTTGTTACCTCTGACTCTTGGCTTTTAAATGAACCAATTGCTAAAGACATGCGAGTATTCTCACCTCGAATTTTTAACTGCCTATCATTTTTCATAGGGATGTGACTCATATAGTCCATTTTGATTAATATATGAAGGAAACAAAATATAAGTGATATTTTGAATTCATATCAAATTTCAAGATCACCAGGTTTGCCATGGAGTCTTCGTTATACTAGTTTTCGGATGCAAATATGAAATAGAGTTATGTACACCAAATATGCAGCAAATATCAGCGAAGATGAAAGACAAGGTTTTTCCTTTTGAAAGAGGTAAACAAGTTTTACCACTTATACTACTTATTATTGACTCAGAATAGTTTGTGTAACCATCTCGCGCTTTTTTGTGTTTTTTAGTATAGTCCTTTTCCAATATGGAAACTGAACATTGGATTCAATACTTCACAAACAAAGAGGATTATGGTGAAGAAATTCCATACTATTTCAATAAAACAACGAATGTCACGCAGTGGGAAGAGCCAGAAGAAATGGAATATTTCTTTTATGCAAATCCAGAAAAGAGAAGTGGCTCGTCGGATCCCATTGTACTTCCTGATTCTTTCGTGGGATTGGATTACCATTCGGTATTTCAACAAATCGGAGTGGACTCCATATCCAATCTAAAGCATGATTCAATACGTAAATTACAAGTCTACCACCAAAGTGCGATTAGTCATACCAGTTGACTCTAGGTACTTCTCAAAGTCTCAATTGGGTAGAAATAGCATCTCAGTCGAATGGCTTGCTTCTCTATGTGTTGTCTAGCCAGTTTGTAGTGTCCTCTCCTATTTTCATGTTGTAGTATAACAACCGAAGTTCCTTCGAGGAAATTGTTGCGTGTGCAGCTGAATTTGTAGAGTTCGCATCTATTGTAGACATTGCAATTCCTATATTCTTTGATACTCGCTTTGGAGGTGTAAATAAGGTAGAGTGATGTACATCCACCTTCCCTACATAGTTTATCACATGTATGAAGTATCTGAAATGGGATTACACTCCATTTGTTCCCATATTCGACCTTGTGAATCCCTATTTGCCTTTCCACCAAGATCTTTTGGACGTTTTCCAAAAGAATTTGTCAGAAGCGGCACTTCACTGTGCGATACACTACTCTCAAAACAACGTGAACGCCTTTCTAAAATCAGTCATCTATCCAGACCAGCTGTCTTCTCTATTTGTATCAATCCTCAATTCCACTTCTCTTGTATATCCAACTCTGTTTCTTTTTTTTCTTTTAGAACTCATCCTTTGCGTGGACCTTATGGCAGTTTATTTTCGATGTATTCGAGTTAGAAGAGCATCTCCTTTATGCTTCTGATTTGATGGTTTTGATCGATATTCTGATTCGTTATCTTCACGATCTGCCCTCTTCTCATCAAGTACAGTTTTTTCAAAGGAAAAGCTTCTAAATAGTTTACTTCCTTATTTCGAAGGATTTTGAAGAAAATAACTGGTAGCAGCATTTACAAGGTGGAATTGAATCAATATAAGTGGGATGATGTGAAAGTGGTTTTAGCTAACTCGTTTGTTTGTTTTTCCACACTATTCACCACTGCTACCGTTCCTTATCATTCCCCTTTACAATATCAGTAATTCCGTGAATAGTAATAATAAGTATATGTAATGTGAAGAAAAGAAAATACCCTTGAAAATGGTCATTCGAAAATAATCTTTGAAATTTCAGTATTACTCATTATTATTGTACAGAACTTACTTTTGAAAATGAATCTTGTTCAAAAACTTACTGTTTGTAATGTATCACCACTCCGGTTTCTTTTTATGCTGTGTTTGCTGGTCATTACTCAATCTCTACCTGAGATAACAATAACCGATTCTAAAGGCCGTGAATACACGAACATCACGATGCAAGTAATGAATGAGAAATTTCCTGCAACCATCAAGTGCAACACTAACGCTGAATGGAGTCTACGTCCCGCTCTACCGAAAGGTCTATCGATGTCGCCGAATCAGCGGGAATTAATGATTTATGGATTTGCAAAAGAATCATTTCCGAAAACTACCTTTACTGTATCTGTTGTCACTCCCTTAGGCAATGCATCGAAAACATTTGATCTTACTGTTACTGGATGTGAGGATGGTGATATGTATAAATTCTTTGTCCAAGGACAAGCTCAGCTCAGATATCAAGAAGAGATTATCGATATTCAAGATGGCAAATGGAAATGTTTGAAGAGAGCTGTGTATACCTATTCCATATTGGAGGACGATACTTCTTTCAGTATCATGGATACTGATGACGACTATGTTTTGCTATTAACGAAGGTAAATAAGACAGAAGGTCAAGTCGATTTCTCCAACAATAGTCCGCCTGTTCTGTTCTTCCCGGATTTCATTCAATCACATGATGATGGTCTTATGAAAATTTTTGATATTTCATTTGTTAACCGTGTTACACATGCTACATTATATCCTCCTCACCCGCTAATCCGAGTATCGAAATCTTCTGTAACTTGTAATATTCCAACCTATTATGAAGCAAATCACGTTTTAACTCTATCAAATGAGCATGGAAGTGCCTCTCAAACCTTCCATATCATTATGAGAAAGTGCGATTTTGGAGAATATTATAAGGTTGTTCATCTCAGCTGGGGCGATACAGTTGTAGTCGATTCCAACAATAATACCGTATACGATAATAGACATAACTATTTCTGTTCGTCTGACCCTAATATGACAATCTATTTCTACGAATCGAAGTTTGGAGTTCAGCTTCTGAGACCAGTCTTTTTGTATGACCAACACGGTATTGTAGCCGAATACAATACGGATTTTGTTCCTGTTGCCTTCCATTTTTTAAAGCAATCTCTTGTATCCTCTTTTTCTTCTCTTCGACTCTCGCATTCATTCCAAGAAAACTGGAATTCCAAAAGTTTTGATGATTCTTTATGGAAGGAAGCTCAAGGTCAAATGTGGGGAACGTTCAATGGAGAAAGTGTCTATTTCCGTAAGCGATTTACAATCGATTCTACTGAGAATTTCAATACCATATTAATTGACGTTTTAGCAATAGGTGATGTGGATGTATATCTCAATGGAGAATATGTTCAGCATCTTTTTGGAAGACTCTATCATGAATACATTCGATTCGAAATCCCTCTGGATGATCGCTACCTTGGAGAAAACGTATTCGCTGCTTGCTTACACAAAGCGACCAATGATACCATTATCAATTTTGACATCATGATTCAGCTTGTTGTTTTATCTCAGAGACTTCAATCCGAATTGGGGGAGGTAACTCAGGAAACAGCCACTCCTTCTCCAGACCCATTCAATGCATTCATAGTAACAAGTTATTACTATTGGGACATGCAATCCACTCCGGCAGCTCTGGTTTTCCGCTTCAATGACACGGAAAAACGAGTCGTGAATCGTGTATACTTCCAGGTTCCGTCTGAGAGTTTCATTACCAAAGTGAGTGTGGATGCCATTGATTTTGATGAGAATAAAAATATCACGCTGTACACTTCTCCTAATGATTTCATGAATCGCTTTTTGGATTATCGGGTCATCGATTTTGATAATTCAATCGCTTATCCGGCATATCGAATCACGTTTGAATCTACATCAAGTCCCAATGTGACTAGAATTGAAAATCTCCGATTATATCGTAACATGCTTCCAGCCTGTCCGCAAACGAAAAAGATTCCCGAAACTCGAGCGAATGCAACAGTGTTTTCGAGCTGTGGCTTATTCTACACTGGAAAGAAACAAAATCGATGTGTAGTTGATGGATCGAAAACCCATTGGGAAGAAGATCGATCGACGTGCTTATCTCTTCTACCCCCACGAAATTATGCCTATGTTGATTTCACGTTCCGATTGATTCATGCAATTCCTTCGATGTTTAACGCAACAATGAAGGAAAGATTAGTTAATATGCTGATTGAGAAAACGGCTGTTCGGCCGGAAGAGGTCGATATGATTTACATTACGGATAGTTCAAATACGGAGAATAGTAGCGTTGACATTTTCATTCGAATCACTGTGAAACAAGCAGGAGGTGACTATATTGCTGAGCAACTATATGATTTGAAATACAGTCTTACAGATTCAGTACAAAAGTTTATAGCCGAAGAGTTGGACGGAATGATTATTGGCAAGATTCGTATTTACATCTCTTGGAAGCCTGAAATTCTTATCTTTATCATAGTAATTCTACTTATCGAGTTATTATTGATAATATTTGCGATTTATGGAGTTTCTGCTTATACAAAGAATCGCAAAGAGAAAACGAAATCGCTGAAGCGCCGTAAAATGAATGAAGAAGAATTACTACCTAATCAGGAGTTTCGTGTTTGTTTCTAGATCTGATATTGTTTCGAGTCTCTTTTCTCTCTTTACAGCTTTCCATCTCTCCGACTGTTTCAAATTTTACCCTTTCAATATGTATATAGAATTATTGTTCTTTTTCTTACAAAATAGAGAATCTCTGTTTCCACTTTTCATTTTTTGTTGAGATGAGTATCAAAGTTCTGTTGTCTAATAATGTCCTGACTAAAACCGTGAAAACTGGAGATGAGATTTTACTTAATTGTGGAAGAGGTAAACACTGATCTCCCTTTCCATTGTAGCTGCATATACTACCGCGCGAAGTGTGTACTACTCCAAGGTGTTTCGATTCAGTACTCATATCGATAGGTTATGTAGAGTCACTGATGTGCTATGATCATCTAGTTAATTCTGTTTCCGGACTTTTTCCAGAGGAACAGAAGAAACTGAATATAACCAGAGAGGAGATTCGTCAGACAGTCCTTCACAGTGTGACGAAAGCCCGCGATTATCTGTTCGAACTCGACCCTACTATTCGAAAGGAAAAGTTGGATGTGAAGTTCAGTGTCATCATCGAGAAACCTACTGAAGAGACTGTATTGTTCATCGATTTTATCAACTCTATAGCACATTCCCATTTCGATTCTCATTCAGCCCATGACGAAGTGTCATTCTCCCCCAATCATTTGTGATGTGTACAACGTGGTTCGCCAGAACGCTCTGGTGAAAGACAGCTTCTGGGTGCGTCAGAGAGAAGCCTATTACGAGAAAAGCGGCCCCTCTGTCGAAGAAATCCTCCTCTGTGAGAACAACGAAATCTTCGAAGGAGGCCAGTCGAACTTCTTCATGGTGAAGGGAGATACCGTGTATACGCGAGGAGAAGGCGTTCTCCAAGGCACTGTGCGCAGTATGGTGATCAATCTCTGCCAAAAGCTCGGCATTCCGCTATCGATGGAGGCTCCTTTGTTGAGCGAGATTTCGTCGTGGGATGCGTGTTTCTTGACGAGCACGAGCAGATTCTTAATGAATATCGACAGAGTGCGCGTAGGAGTGAAATGGAGATGGATAATGAGTAGAAGGATGGAGTGGTTCTGAAGGAGTTCACTGGGCAGAACGAAGTTCTGCAGAAGATTCAGAAGGCGATGACCGAGGAGCTGAAGGTGGAGTCCGAGGAAGTCTTCTTGAATTGACTTGTGTTTGTGTCAAACATGAAAACTAATTACTGGTTGTGTTCGAATCGCGGAGAATCGCAAATGAGTAGGTTGCACCTTGATAATAGTCGATTTACGCATCGTACCAGGGACAATAAGAATATCTCGCTTCTTTGAGCGAATACGGATGAAATCTGCGTCAGTCTATGATCAATATACGAAAGCAATCCAAACATCCCCAAGTTCTTGAATGGTTTCATTTCCCACTTCAATCAACTACATAATCATTCCAATAAAGATATTGAATTCCTTAATCGTCACTGCTGCAAGAGAAATCGCCTCCTCCTTCTCAAGAGAAGTGTGTACCACATTCCTTCCAGAGTCGACAATAACGTGTCCCACAACTCCAGGGAAGCTCTTTACGCGCTGCAGAACGCTATCCAGATCCATACAAAAGTTGTTTGACAACAACAAACAAACAAAGAGCAATAATCCAACACTGTAAGCACGCTATACAGCTGCATTATTACGGTACTCCCGTTTACTGGAAGTTGGCTCTCTTCTCGATGTCCTCCTTCGTCATCAGATACAAGGCATCCATCAATTCCATCTACATCTCACCGCTCCTCTCCTTCTCTACTCGCAGAGAACCAGGGCCCTTCGCCTTCTCTCTCGCCATCTCGCTCGCCACAGCGAAGCAGGCCAATGCCTACACCTCACTCCACATCCCATCCGCTACATAAGCCGTTGCCTCCATCGGCGCCTCTCCGCTCACCAGGAAGGCACAAATGATAGACGTCAGCGAGCATCCCGCAGCAGTAATCAGCGTGCACATCTCCACGCCGTTATGCACTATGCATCACGCCAAAAAACCGCGGAAACCTTCGATCACGCGCTCTCCGTCCGTCACGTAATCCACCTCCCCTGTGATTCCCACGACGCACTCGTACTCCTTCGCCAACGCCTTACCGGCATTGAGCGCGGCTTGCGAAGAGTCGGTTGAATCCACACCTCTGCCACTGCTGACCGTTCCGGCCAGAGCGAGGATCTCCGAGGCGTTGCCGCGAATCACAGTGGGGTGGTACTTCAATAACTCCTTGCAAGTTTCCATACGGAGAGGAGTTGCTCCAGCGCCCACAGGATCCAGCACCCAGCACTTTCCGAGCTCATGAGCCTTCTTGGCAGCCTTGATCATGGCCTCAATCCATCTCTTGGACAGTGTGCCAATGTTGATCAGGGTCGAGCCGCAAATAGTCACCATGTCCTCCACCTCATCCACTTCGTGCGCCTAGCTAATGACAAAATAGGAATCTCATACCATGATGGGAGATGCTCCGATGGCGAGAAGAGTATTCGCCATAATGTCCATGGAAACAAAGTTGGTGATACAATGACAAAGAGGGGTCTTCTTTCTCATTGCCTCAAGAGCCTCACCGCACTGCTTATTCATTGGTATTGGAAAAAATAATGATAATGTTCCAGAGCACATAGTAGTTCCTCAATACCTTGATTATTATAGTGATTGCTGATCACTATTGTTCTAGAATCTTAACAATTTAATAGAAAGAATGCTCAATTTGTTCTCTTACGGAGAAGAAGATGAGGATGAGTATCTCTTGCGTATAGTTTGACAATGTAGTGAAAAGTCCATAAAGGAACAAAAAGAGGCGGTAACTCTTTCTGAGCATGCGGACAATTCAAAGAAAAAAGAAAAATCGAGCAATGTTACAAATGAGAAGAAGTCGAAGAAACGGAAAGTATTGAATATTGAAAAGATTACTGGCGTTTCAATGGAGGAGTTGATGAGAGAAGAAGAGGACGAAAAGCCTATTGACTCAACGACTTCCAGTTCGAAACAATCTTCAGCATCAAAAGTGCTCAACCTTCCAAATCCAAAGAAATCGATCAATGGTTCTTCAAAGTTGGAAAATGGTGATTCAATTAGTCGTAGTTCTGATGAAAGAGGCCATGATTCGTTATTAGAAGAGCCGTCTTCTGTAAAACAAGATCAAACTCCGGCGATTACATATAAGACTGTCTATCGAACTTCCACTCCTTCTACTGTTTCCGTTTCACCCCCAACTGCAACTACAACTGCAACTGTAACAGACACACCAGCACCGCGTATAACGTCTGGGTATGGCGGTAGCTTTTCACAGAGCCAGTATGAAGCATTCATGCGTCGATCAGGGATGCTCGACACAGTGAACGCAGAGTCCACGTCTTCCATCGAGTTTATGGTAGAATTCTGCTCCCTGGGATAAGCAATAGGGAGAAAATATGAAATGCTATGATAAAGAAATGATTCGAGCTCTGAAGGATGGATCCGTGATTGAGCTGGACTCGAACTCCATTCATAATCACCTAGAACAGCCAGGAAATGAATATTGGGAACACAGAGAGGTTGGGTTCTGCATGAACGCTCATTGTTAGAAACGAGCAAAGATCGCTGAGCAATTCGGCAAGTACGCTCACACAGCGCCAACCCAGTTGCAGCAGACGCGAAACCAGATATCCTACTTGGCTACAAAGGCCATTGATGATTTGATGGATTTGGACAAGCGGCGAGCGAATGCCCGGAAGACGCGAAAAGAGATTCGTGCAAAATACGGATGGTAGTTGCTGTTTTTGAATTGTTTGATATACAATCAAGGGCTTGACACTTCTTTATACAGAGGAAAAGAGGCGTTCAATTGTACCCCCATAGTGCTAGATTTTCTCTCCATATCTGATTGATATACCATTCATCACTAAGAAATGAAGTACAAGTATGTCGATGCGTCCATTCTGCTGAAGAGAAAGCAATTAGACGTGAGGGTGGTGTGATGTGGTTTCGTTTGAATTATTACAATGGGAATTGTTTTGTTTTTGTTCTCTCTATTTGTGGAGTCGTACCTAACGTTGTTTTAGTCCTTCTGTGTCTTCTTCTCGTCGCACTACCCGCAAGGCTCACTTCACGGCCCCTTCTCACATCCGCCGTGTGATGATGTCTTCTCCCCTGTCTGAGGCGCTCAAGAACAAGTACAACGTAGCGATCGCTTTTTTCGGCTTACTTGGCAGGTCAACGCTATGCCCATTGTGAAGGGAGACAAGGTGAAGATCCTCCGTGGTTCCTACAAGGGTAAGGAGGGAAAGGTCACCGAGGTCTACAGAAAGAAGTGGGTGATCCACGTCGAGGGAATCAACCGCGACAAGGTCAACGGATCCAGCGCGAAGGTGGGCATTGATGCTTCCAAGGTGGAGATCATCGAGCTCAAGCTGAGCAAGGACCGCAAGGCTATTCTGGACCGCAAGAGCCGTGCTGCTGGAGAGAAGTATACCGAAAAGGAAGTTGCTAACCTTGATTAAGTGAGAGCAGGAGCTTCATGAATTGGTATATTTACAGACGTGTTTGTTGGAAGAAACAGCCTAATTCAATTCAGTGTATTTGTTGGAAGAAATAGTCTAGTCTAATCAAGTGTATTTGTTGGAAGAAACACTCAAATCCAATGTATTGCTTAGTGTGTGCACCTCCTTGGGAAAGGATGAGAGCAACGTGATGCTTTCGTCGTGAAGCGTGCTGGAATCAAACCCAAACCAGTAAATCACGCAGCCAGGACCCAGTCGATTCACGTAGGAATACAGTTGCTGCGAGTTTTGGCGTTGCCAGTACTCATCGCCATAGATCGCCTTGCTCTCGATCCAATTGATTTCTCTCCAGCCTCTACTGTTAGGGATCCGTAGGCTTCTGAGCGCTGTGGAGCAAAGGATATTCATTGACGCGGATCAGAATTGGATAGTTGAGCGTGATATCGGGAGTTCGGAGCAAGCCCTCAGAACGACTCTGCACTTCCGACTTGAATGAGATCTCTAGATTCCGGAGCTGCTCCTTGAGCAGATATTCGTATTCCAGTCCCAATGCCTGACGAATCTTGTCGTGATTCGCCACTTCTAAAACGCTTGTCCAGTTACAGCTCTGGACCTAAAAAATCAATATCAGATAAAAATTAAAGAACAAGGGATACGTATCGCAAATCCGGAATTGTCGAAGGGTTATTGATATACTCCTCGACTGTCTTGTCGTCGATCGTAAACTTTTGTTTCAACATTTCGCGAATAAGACACGGACGGTACAGCTTGCGGCTTTCAACGATAGCGTCAATCGAGTTTCTCTGCTCAAATCTGGTGATAAACGCACAGCCAATCGATACAGTTTGATAAACTCGGCAATGTCCTGCTTGATAAGACTCATTTGCTCCAACTCCAGACGATGAAAACATTGCCTATCGAAAAACAGAAAAAAGGGATCGGCCTACCGATAGATGAATTGAATCGTATTAAAGGGAATGTGAGGAAACTGCGAAGCAATTTTGGCGCCCAAGACTTTGTTCTCCTTGATTAGCTGACTGCAGATGGAGTAGATTTCTTCATAGTCCTTCTTGGACACATCGAATGACATATGAACAATAAGACATGATCAAACACAAAATAGGGAGGATTTTTGCAAGCGGTTGGGAGTTTCGAAGATTTCAAAACTAAGTCCTGTAAAGATGGATGACGATGCGTGTAAAGTTAAAATTGTTGGGAAGGGCCAACGCTCAAATTACATGCTCTCAATAACGAGATCGTACACCATTGGGGAGTTAAAGAAGAAAATTAATGTATACGTGAGTGCATGGTGTCTACGTTCTAGGAGCAATATATGCGCAAGATAGTTCCGTATGAATTGTATTACAAGAAAGTACTGCTAACGGACAATACGTTCATTCATGATATCTATTTAGGGAGCGATTTGTTTTCGCTAACTCTAGAATATGGGACTGATGAGAACTATACGTTTGTACTGGATGACGGTACCACAAGACGAGCGCGAATGAATTCGCAAGAGAATTTTACTAGTATTGCGGACTTTGCTGCTGTATACGTTAATCTCGTTTTTAAGAGTTTAGTCGATGATCAATGTACCTGTAGAACGTGTTATCGTATTGTGCGATAATATTATTCCTATTCCTTATGTAACGCCCACCCAATATGGTGTTACCAGTTGTTGTTTCCGTGTCACAGTGGCTCCCGTACTGGACATCGCCTGCAATTTTAAATATAGTCCCCACTTCCAGACTTGTATGCACCTGATCTCGAGTCGACCCTAAAGCGGTACGTTCTATTCTTATTTTGTGTAACGCAGACTCGCGGTCCATGCTGATCTTCGTTTGTGTTACTACGCACTAGACTGCTTCTTCGACACCAATGAATTCTCCCTTTTGACCAATCTGGCCATAATCACAAGAGACACGCTCAGTAACGTGAACAGCGTTATATTCTGGCCTCTATCCTCTCTGCTGGTGAACATCGTGGACCGCATGATCCGCCTGTACATCTCCGAAGACTACCTCAAATTCCCCCAATTATCGCCTTCCCCGGAGCACTTCGCCTTCCTCAAAGCCATCTACGAGTGCATCGACGCGCTCGTCGGCCGCTGTACGCCTCCTCTCTTTCTCTCTCTCCTCAGTTCTCTTCATGCAGATCCCGCTTCCTGAAGACGTGCTGCAGCAACTCATCTACCCGATGAATCTCCTCCACGACTTGTCGCGTCGCAACAGCCCCATGAACACCACGCTCTACGCGCTCAACCCGTCCACCCGCGAGCCCGCCTGCATGGAGCTCATCTCCATCGCGCTGCACGCGCTGGATTTGTATTGCAGTGCCGGTAGGTCGATGCGATCAAAGCAAAAGAATGAACTCACCGGCAGACAACATCGCCTTGTATCCGCCTCGGAAAGAGATCGTCTTCGCGCTCCGCCCCTTGCAGCGCGTCTCCAACCCCGTAATTTACCGGCAAGCGCTGTCTTGCCTCTCCGGACTCTGTCGCGAGAAGACCTGCTTGAAGAGCCTGGAGGACATGTTCCCCGTGGAGAACGTCGCGCTGCTCATCCGCCAGCACAGCGACGTTCCCGAGATCATCCGCTCGCTCTTCCTCATCTACTCCTTCCTCATGACGCAGAGCCTCGAAGCCAGCAAGCGCGACCACATCGTCGACATCGCCACCGACTACCTCGACCAGCACGCAGACGACCTGCCTCTCATCGAGGCCTACGTTCTCCTCGTCGTCCACGCCTACAACGGCGAGTCGCGGCTTTCTTCTCCCGTGGCGCGCGTTCTGGAGCGCGCGCTGCGCTTCAGCTCGAAGAGTTTGGTGATCCGGAAGTGGGCCACGACGCTGCTTCAAGGCTATTACGCGGAGCTGTCGCCCGCAGCGCTGACGTTCGCGGTGCAGCAGTCGCAGCTGATGTTCATCGCGCTGAAGGACAACCCGGAGGACGTGGAGCAGGTGCGGCAGACGCTCGAAATCCTCTCGATCTACTGCCAGAACGCGGAGCTGCGCGAGACGATCATCACCATCAACTCCATGTCGATTCTGCTCACCATTCTGGAGAAAAACACGGGCGGGTCGCCGGAGCTGTTCATCCAGCTCGCGCAGTTTTTCTATTTGATCATCAGCCAAAGTCGAATCGGGCGGGTCGTTGAAGAATAGGCGCGCAGTGCTTGGAGTATTTCCGCGATAACCACGCGCTGTTCATGCTGGAAGAAGCCGCAGGGAAGGTGGAGCGGATCGAAATGGTGACGGTGTGCTACGAGCTGATCATCATTTTACTACGCAACTGTTTGGATTGGCTGCTGAAACGAAGCCGTAGATTCGATGAAGAACTTCCCGTCGTTCACCATCGACGTTTTCCAAACCATCGAGAAATACAACCGCAATTTGATCCTCATCGAGAAGGGAATCACCATTCTCTCGCTCTTCCCCGCACTCGGTTTCCCTTTTTCCACCATTCTGATTGGCTAGTCTTCGAAGACGTGATCCAGAAGGTGAAGAAGCTCACGGATTACCTCCTGGCCGCCATGTCTTCTCACAATCTCTCCCTCATCGCGAACATCATCGTCGTTCTCGCGAAGATGCAGCTCGACGAGGCTTCCTATCAATATCTCGACTCGCATTCGTTTCTCTCCGTCATCTTCGAGTTCGTGAACGAATTCGTGGACAAGCCTCTCCCCGATTCCACCACCAATCTCCCGCATCTCTACTACCGACAGTTCGCAGACATCGTTTTCTACACGCTGGTGTACATCAAGCAGCACTTCCAAAGCAACCGTATCTTTTTTTTTATTTTTATTATTCTTCTAATCGTCTAGTCGTGGTCTCTTCCCTCGACATCCGCAGCCTGCTCGTTTGGATCGATTGCTTCAAGGGCGACGTCGACATCGTCACGCTCTGGCTCGAGACCATGCAGAACTACCTCCGCTCCGGTGGGTTCCCCGTTTCCCCGATTGAAGGTAGATTTCGGGACGATGACGGAAGCGCTGGAAGTGAAGACGGTGAACATGCTTCTGGACCTCTTCGTGATCTACAACGACTCCTCGATCGCCGCGCTGCACATCGAATTCAACATCCTCAACGTTCTCCTCAACTTCTTCTTCCGCTACACGAGTACTTGCCTCTCCTCTCTCTCCTTACTCGCTCAGAAAACATCCTCAAAGCCTGCCGTCTGCCCTCCTTCCAGCACACTCTCTACTCTCTTCTCTTCCTCATTCTCGATCTCCACTCCTCCTTCCTCCAAATCGCCATCACGCCCTCTCCTTCCTCCACCTCCAAGCTCCTCGCCTGCTTCCAGGTCACCGACTCCACGCGTCGCTTCTCTCCCGTCGGGTCTCCCGACCAGCCGGTTCCCTACGATTCCACGATTTCCCCGCCCACCCAGCTCTACTACGTCGTCCAGAAACCCACCGAGGACGCGGGCAATCCCGCGCTGCTCGACGAGGACCGGCAGTTTTTGTTCGATAAGCTGCTTCTCTACATCACACAGTTCTTCCAAGGCATCATCCAGATCGATGAGCAGAATCGTAGAGACTCGCGAGATCGCGCGGTGATTCGTAGAATTCGAGCAGATGAAGCCGTTTAAGCACGTGCTGCTGCAACTTCTGGTACTCTCCAAGTACATTTTCGTGTTCGTGAAAAAGACGCATGCCGTGCGGGCGGTGCAGGGAAATATTGAAAGCATCTTAGAAACGATCTATAGTAGAGATAAAAGAGGATGGTGATGTGTAGAAATTACCATCAAGGATGTCACGAATATGGTTTTGAAGGGTGGGGAGGAGTAGAGGAACAATCAAACAAACAAAGAAAGGGATTCATCTCTGTGTTTACGTGTGTTTTGCTTCTAGTGTGCCTGAGATTTTTGTTGGCAAGGTTTTGTCTTTTGAGTGGTTTGTTCCAGAAATTCGGCCGATTTTCGCACATTTCACTATTCCTTTGCCCTCACATCGAAATGAATTTCTGGAAGCCGGGCGAAGAGTATCCTGACGGAATGGACGAGGAGAAGGTGGAGCTGGATAAGGAAGCTCCTGTGGATAGAATGGCCAGGGAAATCACAAAATCAAAAGTGCAGCTCTCTGACCGCATGAAGAATATGTCTGTAAGAGGCTGCGAGGGCGATTGAGCGTTTAGTTCATGGTGCATTCGCAGGAAGAGAAGGAGCAGCGAAAGAAGGAAATCGCAGCAATGAAGGAGCTGAAATCGTACATGTGGTCCTATCGCAAGATCTCCCTATCCGAAAGCACAAATTTGTAGTGTATTCTGCTAGTTACTGAGTGTAGCTCCCATCATCCGTGTTGCGGACCGGTTATCAACCCTGTGGCGGAAGAAGAGTGCAAGCGCTTTTCTTTTGGAGGATTCAATCCGCAGGTCGACGTATTGTGCTTCGAGTTCTTGTACCTTGTAGCAACTAATGAAGGAACGCAAGGATCATCGCAACATGGTGTTTAGTTCGAAAGATATGAGCGAGAAGCAGATCAAAGAGACGCTGAACAAGTAGCCACTCGCTTTATTTTTCCTCAACGATAGATACTCCACATTGAGATGGAATCGTAAGCCCAAGAGCCGAGGAACGAAGAGAGAACGCGAATAGTTTGTCAATTTATATGTTTTATTTTGAAGCGGCTTGTTTGAGGCATTAATCGTTTTTCTAAATCCTTGCTATTCGAATTATGGAGAAGTATTGCCTCCAGAAACGTTCTGTTCTTTCGTTCAAAACAGGACGCTATGAAGACGGAGACATCAGCTACATGTATGTAATTCACACGTATTCATTTGGAAACCACTCTTACTGCATAGTTGCAAGAGTTCGGATGAATCTCTTCTCGCATTAACTCTGTCTAACGGAATGGTGCGTATTGTCAAGTCGGCCGATCTATCCAATGTGGGTGCTTTAAATATTGGGCGGACCACCTTGTTCTGCAGTTTGTTTTTGCCGTCCGACCCAAAGGTGCTTGTTCTTAGTGAAAGGTAGTGTATGGATTGCGAGTTGAATATAGAAATGGGCATATCACGGTGTTTGACTATGAGTCGCAAACTATGAAAGTCGAATATAACACTGTTCGTGAAATCTTTTCCTGTGCCATTCTATGCGGAGGGAAAATGCTCCTGTGCGCAGACAAGCAAAATATTTACTTTTACGAACTTGAGACGGGAAAACGCATTGGAATGTATCGAGACCTCCACAGTGATGTAATAAACAACCTGATCGCTCATCCTACCTATCCTACTGTGTTTGCTTCTGGTTCTGAAGACGGACTGGTAGATGAAGCGTATTCTTGTCTCAAGTAGATTTGTGTGTTTGACGTTGCTCGAGGGAACCAGGACGACGCTCTTCTGAGCATTTTCCAAACCGAAAGTGGCGTAGCGAGCATGAATTGGTTTGGAGGGAATCATGAGCTGATTTGGTGTGCTTCGATGACTCGCGGAATTAGTGTTTGGAATAGCATAAACGGAGATCGACTTACCGATATCAACGATTTTTACCCGATTCTATCGAAGCAAGGTAATCTCAAGGAATGAGGCTGTGACTTAGGTATCGAAATTGATTATGTGGTTGGCTGTATTCCGTTCCAGAACTCGCTGTATGCACTCTGTGGCATGCAGGACGGAGCAGGCTTCGTTGTCTCGGTGGAACATCCGGATCAAGTCGTTGTGAGTTGGAAGGGCCACGAAGTGCGTCAATTGGTGTGAAGTGACATGCAGAGCGCGATTCGGAGCGTTCTGTGCGTAGGATCGAGCGTGGTGACCAGCGGAGAAGATGCGAGTGTTTGCTTGTGGTCTGCGAATGCCGTTGAGAAAGGAGTGAAGTCGAGAGGTGTGGAGCGCATGACGCATGCGGTGAACAGGAAAGACAAGTATCGTTTAGTATAACTTTTTTAATGTCAACAAACTGTTTGTCACAAAAGGTAAAAACGGAATGGAAGAAGCTGGAAACCGCTTATCGAATCCAGAACCCATTTATAGTACACAACTTGATCCGCATGTCTTGGACGTCTGCGAGTCTTTCGATCCGCGATCCAAACCACTTCTTTATCACAGTTCTGCTCTTTGAAATGCTTCTCCCGAGTCTCCGGGTCCTGTACAATGTTCCCTCCACCTGCTTGCAGCAGATGCATGATTTCATCCTTTTGAGGACAGGGCGGATCAAAATCGCCGAGTAGCACAAAGAGAAACCCATCAAATAAGTTCTACATTGGAATCAGCGTCTAATCAAACCTTGGGCGAGGACCAGGACCGATCGGGTCCTCCTTTCGTACAATGAGACATCTGATAATCGCCTTTCACCGTGAATGGTTTCCAGGAAGGGAACTGCTCCACCGAAACGAATGTGGTGACGATGTCGCTATGTTTGGTTTGTTGGTCTTTTGCTATGCAAGAATTGATAACCGTGTCAATCTCGGTGATCCAGTCAAAGGAAACGATGGGTTTGTGGGTAAGGATGGATAAAAGGTATTTCACGGTTCGGTTTGTGGTGTAGTCGCCGTCTTCATCCATCGTCGTGCTGGCGATGCAGTGCGTCACTACTAACGAAACGCATGGAGAATGTACCTTCGTCTGAGAACTCGAGCACCGATCGAACCGAGGAGTGCGTGCAGACGTGCGTGACGATTTGTCTCTGAGAAATGTCCAGACCGGTGAGGAGAAAAACGAACGAAGGCGAAGCGACTCGCAGCCTCCGTTTGCTCAAATCGGGCACTCTCGGTTTGATGCGTTTTCGCAGTCTCAGTTTGCGCAAATCCTTTGTTGGAGACACGATCTGGTTGCACTAGACATCAAACCAAAACACATGCCAAAAACAATCAAAGACGTCTTAAAGGGGGCGAGCATTTGCGTGTAGGACTCGATGATCGTGTCGATCTCCGGAGCATCAACAACGTCACGCACTGTGTACCTTTCTTTACACACAGGACATCGAGTCGAAGTCTGCAGATAGCGTTCAATACAATTTCTGAGTCTCATCCTAATTTTATAAAAGGAACCTGCAGAAGTAGTGATTACAGGGAAATCGACAGACACTATGGAAAATGGATAAACTATATGGGATTCCGCCTTCTCTCTAGTACCAGATGGGACAGATGAGTTCCTTTCCGAACGCGGACAACGCAGCGAGATATCTTCGGAAGCTGCGTTTGTCAGACTCGGAATCCATGGCACAGGTTTCTCTCAAACAACACAACAAGTCTAATTCACTCTCACTCTGTAGGTCTTGAATTCCATGGGGGTGAGGTTCACGATCGTGTCCTTGGCGTAGGACTTCTTGATCGTGGCGGCGCTGGTCTTCATCTTCGGGTCGATCTCCCACTGCATGCGCTCCTTCTGGATCTGCTCTCTGGGGAACATACCGGAGAGTCCGTATTCGGTCATTTCGGTCACCTGGAAGTCCGCGAAGTAATCGTTCACATCGAACGTCACTTCCTGCGCCAGCTCGGTGGCCTCGCCCTTGGTGTACAGGTGGTGGAAGCGCAGCAGGAAGTCCGAGTCGCGGAGCTGGTTCAGCTGGAAGTTCAGCAGCTGCACGTTGGCGGGGAGCTCCTTCTTCAGCAGCGAGCGCGACGTCATCTTGGGCTCCTTGTCGCCCACGAAGTAGTACGGCACCGGCGCGTGGTTCAGATGCAGGTCCAGGCGCTTGTGCACCTCCACGCTGCGCTGGATGGAACTCAGCGTCAGCCAGAGCGTCTGCTGGTAGTGATCGTTCTCCGTGAGCGGCTCGTCCACGCCGAACCAGTCATCGCCGCGCGTGCGGCGCTTCAGCATCACCTCCAGCACGCCGTCCACCACCGAGGCCACGCCGTGCGCGCGGTCCACCACCAGGTTCAGACGCAGATCGGAGGCGTCGGCCTGCAGGAAGGCGCGGTTGGTCACGGGGTAGTAGTTCGCGGACACCGGCTCCACGGAGTCCTCGCGGTACTCGCGGCGAATGTCCTCCAGACCGTTCGCGTCCGTGTACAGCACGCGGCCGTTGCGCAGCTGCTCCGAGGCGAAGCGAGCCACGATCTCGCGGCCGTCGTCCGTGGGACCCATGTCATACACCACTTCGATCACGTTCTTCATGATGCCCTCGCAGCGGTACAGGCGCAGAACCTGCTGATAGCCGCTGCGGTACACCACGCGCGCCTCCTCGACCAAATCGCCCTTCAGAATCGTCAGCTCCGCCTGCGATCCCACCGGATCCGGCGTCTGCTTCTCCGGAATGAAGGAGTACGCGCCCGAGCTGCGGCCCTGATTGAAGCGGCCCGTGTACTGGTAGAGCATGTCGGTGAACGGAACGGTGCGGCCCTCCTGCTTCAGCTCCACGCTCTGCAGCAGGCCGTTCTCCGCGAAGGTCAGCTTGTACACCTCGTTCTCGATGAAGTCGTCGCGCGTCACTCCGCCGCGCGGCAGCGTCGCCAGCGAGGTCTGCGTGCGGAAGTAGACCGTGGTGAAGCCCAGCGCGGGGACCTCCACCTCCACGTAGACCACGTGCGTGCCGTTGGCGCGCTCGATCGACCAGTCGGGGATCTCGTTGATCTGGAAGGGCAGCAGCTTGCCCGCGGCGTCGGTGACCTCCAGCGCGCCGACAGGCACCACGACGCGCACCACGTTCTTGATGGCCTGCGCGTTGCTGTTGGTCAGAATCACGCCGAGACGCTGGCGCTTGGACAGCTCGGCCCACTTCAGCGTGATGTTGTGGTTCAGGTTCACGTCCAGCATGGCGCCGAGGATCGTCGACGTGGCCTCGTTGGCGAAGAACGAGCCGTCCTCCATCTGCACGTTGTAGTCGTTGGCCACCGCCTGCTTCTCCGTGCCCGTGATCGCATCGTGGTGCTGGAACTCGCCCTGCGCCTTGCGCAGCTTCATCACCTTCTCGAACACCTCCTCCGCGTTCACAGGGAGATGGTACACGCGCGCCAGCGACAGGTACAGCTCGGCCACGGCCAGCTCGTTCATCGTGCGACGGTTCAGACCCTTCGTGCGGCCACGGCTCGTGTAGTAGCCCGTCCAGTAAGCGTCGGGGTCGGAGGCATAGGGCATGAAGTCGCCCTCGTAGACGTCCCACTGCTTCTTGTGCTTGTTCACGGCCTTGATGTAGTCCGAGAACACGGCGTACTGCACGTGCACACCGAAGCGATCCTCGTTGTCGTTCACGTACTTGATCAGCTTGTCCATGTTGTCGTACGACACGGGCGCGCTGAGGAACGTGAAGTCGCAGCCCCAGGTGATCAAAAGGTTGTTGCCGTTGTCGTAGTAGGTCGCTCGCTTCTTCACCATGTCCACGAACTTCTGCGCCTTCTCCTCCGCGTTCACCTTGAACGTGGGCAGGTCGGCGTTGTCCTGGAACCAGGAGTTATCGTCCTTGCGGTACATGCAATCGCCGCTGCTGTTGCTGAAGAAATCGCACTCCTCAGGCGAGCAGTAATGGTTGTCCATCATGTGGATGAACATGTCGCTCTTCTCGCCCTGGCTGTTGCTTCCACGCCACACGAACTCCAGCTTCTGATTCTTGATTCGGTTTTCCTTGTCAGCGTAGTGCACACGGTTGATACCGAAAGCGTCCATACCAATATCAGCGTAGAGAGCCTCGATCTCCTTGGAGTGGCCGAACGGATCGATGCTCCATCCCACGGTGGGGCGAATGCCGAACTCATCGTAGATGAACTTGGCTCCCAGAGTCATCTCGTTGATCACATCTTCATAGGTGGCCGTGGCCTCATCGGACATGACCCAACCACCCAGGTTGAACTCAAACTGGCCGTTCTCAACCAACTTATGGACCAGAGCCTTCATGTTATCATTCTGCTCCTTCCACCATCTCTGGAAAAAGCCCTGCTCAACATAACTAGGCAATGAGGCATATCAACTAAAAAAATACGTGAACTTTCGTTCCGGATTGACAGCCAGAGCACCAATCACCGTATCCAGAATGTAACGCACTTGCTACTCATTATGCTTGGGTATACCGTTCCATACCTTCACGTAGTACTGGTCAGTAGTTACAAGCCAACCAGGATCATCATGGGTGTGAGCGTGGATCCATACGTTAATCGTTCCGTTGTTGTTGACCGGATTCGCCTCGCGATATTGATTCGACATCTACGGAAACACGTTTTCGAAACACAAACCTTTCTATTTAGTTCTTCCTTGATATTCGAAGCCATCACTCCATAGAGGAGCGCCATAATGGCCACAGTAGCGAATATGCCCTTCATTTACAAAAAATAATGATAAGAAGTATCCACAAAGGGAGAAACTGTGCAGTAGTCTGGGGAAACTTTGATTATCAAATGTTTTCCTCAAAACACAAATCCTCGTTTTATGGAATAAGCTTGTCAATTGAATATTGGTAATAATTATTCAATATAGCCTCCATAGTATAATTCGTCACACTCGAAATATTATGCAGGACGTTTGATGTGTTTTCTTCCTTGGTGAATTCAACTACTTTATATGTAAAGGAATATATATGGTACTTTAAAGTATTGTGTCTCAATGATAGCATGAATTGCTTGCATTAAGCGAGTGTTCGTATTTCTATGTTGTTTACCGGTAATAGGACAGTAAAATGGCAATTTATGTTCATCAGACATATCATTTTCTTCAACCATGATGGTTTCAGGAAATTGTGTTCCACTTATCAAAAAGGTATCTTAAATGCTCAATTTATTCTTATCAATTAATATTGTTGTTACTTCGCTACGAATGGAGATAAAACCTGTTATATTCTATAAGTTCTTTATACAATTTTCCTTTTTCAGTTTGGTGCTTCACTTCTAATAGAAGATTCCTTTCAAAAATAATATTCACACATATATAACTACAGACAGAAGACTAGTAATTTCTCATTATTTGCTAGTTTTGCTATGTACACACATACTTTGTTCAATTGAATCAACCAAGATACACTCAACATCATATTTGTATATCCTCCTCATAATAGAAACAACTCTATTTCGAAATGTTCACAAAATACTTGTTTTCGATATTATTTCCTATTTATAACTGCAAATATTAGTAAACATGAGCACAGAAATGGAATCGTTGATAGCGAAGTACAAAGAAGAGCACAAGCGTTTAGTAGACAGAGAGAGAGAGTTTGTTAATTCTTAATAGTGTAATTGTTTATAGATATGATGAGGAACGCGCTTTAGTAAAAAAGACAGACGAAGACTACGCTAGTATCAAACGGAAGCTGACGGCATTCCAAGTATACAATTTGTACAAGGATTGATATGAAGAGTGTTGGGCATTCGATAGGAGATGTAGTTTGTGTACTAAATGATGAAGAAGTACTTGTCAAGCTCTCTCTTGGAAGTCGTTATGTAGTGAATGTAAAGAAGTCTGTAATCGCTTTTTGTGTGATTTGAGGTTGTTAGGTTGATATGAGCTCCCTCCAACAAGGAACGCGTGTGGCATTGGATACTACTACAAAAATGATTATGCAGTCTCTTCCCCCCAAGGTGGATCCTTCTGTTTCTGCCATGATGGAAGAATCTACCGAACAAATCAAGTGGTCTGATATAGGCGGTCTAAATGATCAAATCCGTGAGATTCGTGAAGTATCAAGAATGCCATTGATTTCCATTTTCTTTTTAGGTCATCGAGCTTCCTTTGGTTCGTCCGGAATTCTTCGTTCGAACGGGTATCAAGGCTCCCAAGGGCGTTCTTCTCTACGGTCCTCCTGGAACCGGGAAAACGTTGATTGCGAAGGCATTAGCATCGTCTATTAAAGCCACCTTTATCAAAACAGTGGCTTCGTCGCTGATCGAAAAGTATGTCGGAGAATCTAGCAGAGTCGTTCGAGAGCTCTTCAGTACGTTTGCCTCGGTCCTCTTATCTAGATTACGCGCGACAACACACGCCAGCCGTTGTGTTTATCGACGAAATCGACGCAATTGGAAGCAAGCGCCGCGAAAACGTACCGATTTTTGGAATTCCCTAAATCGAGGGTTCTGGCGCCGATCGCGAGATCCAGCGAGCCATGATGGAGCTGCTGAACCAGCTGGACGGATTTAACGAGCTAACGCAAGTGAAGGTGGTGATGGCGACGAATCGTCCGGACACCTTGGATCCGGCGTTGCTGCGTCCTGGTCGATTGGACCGCAAGGTGGAGATCCCGCTGCCGAACTCGATCGCGCGGAAAGACATCCTGCGGATCCACAGCCAGAACATGAAGAAGAACGGAGAGATCGACTTCGACACGCTGAGCAAGATCACGGACGGGTTTAATGGCGCGGATCTGCGGAACGTGTGCACGGAGGCGGCGATGTTTGCGATCCGCGAGGAACGGAACTATGTGATGAACGAGGACTTCACGAAGGCGGCGCGGAAGCAGACGGAGGCGAAGAAACTGGAGAGCAAGCTGGAGTATGAGAAGGTGTGGGGTGTTTGAGAGAAAACGCAAGTTAAAGGGAAGGAGGAGTGGTTTCGATTGAAGAACTCGCTTCAAGGGCGCGCTTGGCTTCCTTCGGCTCCGCGTCGTTGACGTTTTGGACTGCTTCGACTTTCGTTGCCTCTTCGTTTTGGAGCTTGGCTTTGTCCTCCTTATCGTTGTCGTTGTCGTTGTCGTTGTCGTTGTCGTTGTTGCTATTGGGAGGTTTCACATCCACATTCACGACATCGTCCGCAGCTTTCTTCTCGCCCAGCTCGACCATTTCCACTTCGCGCGCCATCTGCTGCGCCACAAATCGGCGGATTGTCGGCGTTCCGTAGTTTGCACTCTCGTCCAAAGCGAAAATCAGAAGAGTGATCAGCAACTGGATGATCCCAAACAACTAGCACTCACATTTCGCTCGTCGATCCTACATAGAAAACACACCCGAAGTCGAAGGGCCAGGAGTGTTGCTGGATTAAACTCCACGAATACACGTTTGTAGCGATCGCAGGTCCCTACTTCTCACGCCTTCTCTTCGATTCACACGAGGAACCTTCCCGTAGAGGCGCACACTTGGCCGATCCCGTTCACCTTGCCTCGGAAATCGGGGAAGGAAACGTTCGTAATGATGACTATGATGGCGGTAAACTGAACGATTCGAAGAACAATGGCGCATGCATAAATGACGTAAATAACGAGCCATTGAGTCTAGGCTTCGAGGGATGAGCGGCTGAATCTACCCATTCTGGTTTACCGATCGTCAACGCGCAAATGGGAGTGAGAAGAATGCACAGCATGTAGAGAAGTCCAGAACTCAGCCACATGTATCGATAACCCAATAAACGACCGATGATGCCATTAAGAACGGGTGGAGTGAAGGAAATCAAGTCAAATGAATTGAATGACGACAGAAAGAACTGCAAAGATTGGTCAAGAAGGCGAATGACAAGCAAACACCCAAAGCATCAAGTGGATCAATGATGATTCATTCATTCAATTCATTCAATTCATTCAATTCATTCAATTCATTCAATTCATTCAATTCATTCAATTCATTCAATTCATTCAATTCATTCAATTCATTCAATTCATTCAATTCATTCAATTCATTCAATTCATTCAATTCATTCAATTCATTCAATTCATTCAATTCATTCAATTCATTCATTCAATTCATTCAATTCATTCATTTCCAAATGGATATGTCCAGCAAGCATTTGCACCGGACCCAGCCACGAATACAGCAATCCCACCTCGGTCTGCGACCATCCAAATCCCTTGTTCTCCGCCGGATTGATCATCCACACCGGGTAGAGCGCATCCTGCCCTCCCTGGACCAAGGAAAGCAGTCCATACAACACCACCGACAGCAGAATTCGCTTGTCCGCCACCAGCTTCGCATAGGACCCTCGCATGAGAATCTCCTGGATTCGCTCTTCTTCGGTAGGACGATAATTCGGATCTCGCTCCCGTTTTTCCTTCAGACGAGCCATTCCTTCCTGCGATTCAATCAAATCCTTCACTCCTACGCGAGAACGCTTCAGAAGCTCCTCGTTTTTGCGCACATCCTCTTTGGAGAGAGTTTCTGGCAGACAGAAAAGCACCATGATCAGAATAAAAAGACATATCAAGAAGGCGGTGAAACACGGAATATAGTAACGATACTGAACGTAAAACAAAAACAATCAGCCAATCACATCACGTAACACTGGATAGCGCTTTGTCAGTTCCGGAAAATTCTCTTCGGGCTTCGATAGATAGCCACCGAGGGTAGGACCCAGGATACTGCGTGTTACGACATTTCTCTATGATTACGTCGCAATTCCACCCACTGTCTGGAAAATGGCAAAACCAGTTGTCTGGGTGTAGTCATTACAGATTTCGCTAATGTACGTCTTGGCGATTCCCAAATTACCGTTTAAAAAGCCCCAAAGAGCTCGACCCAAGATAGCAGTGGCGTAATTGGTTGCCAATCCGAAAATATTGATCGAAATCATCACACCTATAATACTTAAACAGATCGACCAGCGTCGCCCGTATCGATCTGCAAACCAACCCCAGAAGAAGTTTCCCGGGATTCCACCCAGGGCATACGATGCTGTGATCCATCCACTGTAGTGACCTATCTCAGCATCCTCCAGCTACTAGTCAAAATAACAATAATAATCCAACATCTGGAAAATAAACTTTGCAGAGATACGGAATAATGGGGTTGACCAATGTGTTGCAGAAATTGTCCAAGAGCGTGACAAACGAAATGGCAATCATGGGAACCAGAGGAATCGTTCTCCTCTCATAGTCCGGAATAAACGGTTTCACCATTTTGTTTGATATTATTTTTTGCGGATTGTTGTTCCACAACCGCGGGGATGTTTTTTACGTTTATTGTCGATTGCCCATTTGATGGAATCAATACACTCATTTCTCAGAATAAATAGTCGGCTGTGGACTCTTTTACTATTCTCTTTCTTGTATGAGTCTAGCTGTAGTTCTTAATGAGTTATTTGTGTTGTAGGTGGTCAATAGTTTGATTCGCGTTGCTCAGATCATAGAAAAGTCGTATTCCTCCAATCCAAGGAGTGTTATCGTTTGGTATTTCTTTGAATAGTAGATCCCGCAGTGGATAAAAGAATTGTGTCAATTCAATGCAAAGAGCGAGAATGCGCTAGTTCGTTCTGCTTTTCTCGGATGCATAAATAACCTAAACGAAAAATCTACAAAACCAATAGACAATCCGACCCAGGATTCTCCTTCCATGTCTGAATCGAAGTTAGTGGAAACGTGTCAAAGTTACTTAAACAAACTGGAGGCAGCCATCATAAACGAATATGATGTGGAAACGCTCTCAATCCTAAACTCACTTCAGGTTGCATCCTTATTCACCTTGTTACTCGCAGAATCTTCCAGTTACCTTGTCGGCGATCAAGAAGACAAAAGCTGTCGATTCTTTGAAACAGCTCTCGCTTGTTGCGAGCAGTACAACGATCAAAGGCCAGATAAAAAAGGTAATTCACCACTGGAAAAACTTCATCCTGTCAAAATCCAAGGTCGTTGCCATCAAACCTCCAGTAGCCAAACCTTCCGAGTCTTCCGAATCCAGCAAGATTCAGTACATCGACAAGGAGCCTAAAGTCCGTTCTTTAACAAAGAAAGAACGAGACGAACTAAAGGAGAGAGAACGGCAATGGCAACTCCTCGTAGATGCTGTTTGTTTGTTGGGCTAATTTGCAGCACCCTCCTACGTTTCCTCGTTCAAGAGGGTCAGACGCGCCCATTCCTGCTTCTATTCGGCTACGAAAGAGAAACACGAGCACATCAGAATTGATGAGTTCGACGAACCTTTCCCATCGAAATAATAATAATAGTAATAATACCCGAGCATGGATTCAAAAGCAAGAAGTCCCATCTACGTCACAAATAAAAATGAAAAAGTCTGAAACACGACACAATTCGCAACTTTCCCTCCAAGTTCCACAATCCAATTCGTCTTCTTCTTCTTCTTTGCAGAGAAAATCCTCTTCGGTCACTCCAAATAGAACAAAAAATGAGAGAAAGCAAGAGAGAAGAGTAACCTATGAGAGTGAAGAGTCGGATAATGATATGGGTGATTTCATTGTTGATGATGTGGACAACTCCATGGAAATGCAATCATTCATAAGGCAGATTTTTGGGACTAGAGAGTACGACGAATCGAGAGAAATATCCTTTCTAGCTACTCTACGTTAGACCTTAATGGTAGGGAGAAGCAATGGAGAGCACAGGAGCGCAGATTGATGCCGAGGAGGAGTATTCTAGAATTGTTGGCGAATACGAAGACCGTACTGCAGTGTTGTAGTTTTGTGTTTAGGAGATTTGTTTGTTTTGTCATAATTATCGTGGAACTGCTTGATCTTTTATTTTCGTACATCCATACATGGTAGGATATTCCTATTTTCGGAAGGATTGTAACGAAATAGACAGAGGCATTGTATTGCGGAGATTATGGAATTATTCCATATTCTTCTCTCATCGAATATTTAAAGGGTTCGAGATACCTCCAAATCATTAATCGTAGAGAGTAATGACCAGAATATTTCGTTTTATGTCGTTCCAGCGCACATGCTTGTAGAAACACAGAGCAAAGGCACCCCAGAAACTTTTGAGTCTGTCAATCAGAGTAATAATGCTGTGCCTGGCTCTCTTTCACATTCTTCTAAAGGAACTTCTTCTGTGGAATAAGAAGTTGAGAACTTGATAGGTTAGGAATTGTATACATAACTATAAAGCTCGTGTCTTTCTAATTCCATGGAGTGTATTTGCCTATATAGCGCAACAGCTTCTTTTACTCTCTTATGGAATGCAAACTATCTGTTTTTTGTTTGTTCAAAAAAACTCTATGGAATCATCATCCCAAAGAGTGAACCTTGATCTGAAAGCTGTAGCGATCAACGAGTTCATTCAGTCTACTGTTGAGTTTTTAAACTCTTTTGCAACACAGTATGTGGAGCTCTATTCTGGTGAACTTTTGTAGATGTGAGGCCAAATTAAATCAATTGAATAACAGAATCTGTGCATTAGAAGCTTCCTTATCGTTGATTGAGACGAAAATGAATTCCGTGCAGCAAGAACCATGTGTGATATTTGAATCGTATTCAGATGATAGATTGCGGCAAAGCCAAAGAATTTCAGCAGAAATTGCGAGGCACTGTGCCTTCTCCCCGACCTGTTAGTGTAGAAGAGAACGGTAAGGCGCAAGAGACTTCTTCTACATTACCATCTTCTGTCTCACAGTCCTCTGCCAAGGCGCCTCCCCCTCCTCCGTCTTCTGTTCCTCCTCCGCTCCCTTCTTCGCAGCCTCCCGTAAGCAACGATGTTGCACAATCCGGAGTGAAATGGAAGGATCACCCGTTGTATGCGGAGTATTTCCGCAAGTTAAGATATGGTGTACCGATTGACGCTATCAAATCCAAATTATCTTTTTCGGGTCTTGATCCGACCGTTATCGAGTTGTTTTGTGTGCTGTGAGTCACATGTAGTAACGATCCGGAAGCTTTTGCTCCATCAGGTGTGTAATCTTTATAATATTGTTTTGTTTTCTCAAACAAACTCTCTTTATGAAGTTCAAGCAAAAGAAGTTGCGTGGCCAAGAGATTTATGTCCAAGTAAGGGAATTGGACTACTGTTTCCAAATAGAACGGGAAGTTTTATAAGAAGGTGAGCGATCTGGTCCGTAACTTTTCGGAGGATGAAGAGCCCTTCGAGATTCCCTTGCCCATGGATTATGTCTCACGCACCTCTTTTCACTTGGACACCAGTCTTATCCCAACTGCGATGTATAGTTTTGGTGATTTTTGAAAGTATAGAGAGGAGTTGGGTAATCGTAGTTTTCCGGAAAAGGAAAAATACACGGATGCTTTGAACAAGCTGTTGGCTCTTCAGAGCGAAGGGGAGGAGGAAGAATGCCCATCTCCTAGTCGATTTCAAAATTCGGAGTGACATTTAGGCTTAGTATTGGACCAATCTTCTTGTGAGAGCTCGCAGAGTAGTACAAGGAGTTCTAAGAGCTACTATGTTTCGACCCCTCTAAGACATTCAAATTCAAATCGTCATTATTTTGATAACTCTGTTATTGTTACCAGTAACAGTGTTTGGTATAACACCTACATTCGCATTGAACCACTCCCTCCAGGTGTTATAACTGCTCGTAATGAGCAAGTAGTGAAGACTGAGTTTCAGCACATTTTGGCAAACATCTACTTGAATAAGCCCAAGAAACCTGTTGTACCTGGTTTGATTCACGTTCTCCCACCTAGGATGAATCCAGTCCTTGTAACTGTATTCCTCCTGAACGAGCAAAGGAAATTCTGAGCAAGCACACAAACTCCCTCCATTCCGAGTATAGTCGAGAAGATATTGAATCATTTGCGCACAGGGGTTGTGGAGACCGTTGCATCAATAGACTGTGCTATGTTGAGTGTGATCCGAGCACATGTCCTTGTGGAGATGATTGCACGAACCAAATGTTCCGTCGTCATGAGTGAGAGCAGAGTATTCAAGATAAAGGGTAGATACCAGAAATTGGTACTCTTTTATGATGAGCAAAAAGGATGGGGAGTGCGCACCGATGTTTTCATTCCGCGCGGTACATTCATTATCGAATACGTTGGCGAAGTGATTTCTCAAAAAGAAAGCGAGTACCGAAGACAGGTAGGAGTTTTTTTTGTTAATTTCGTGTAACGGGCAGAAACGGCAAGGCCAGATGCACATGTACTACATGAGCTTAGCTCCCGATCAACTGATCGATGCTACAGACAAGGGAAATGCATCTCGGTTCATTAATCATTCATGCGATCCGAATTGTGAAATCCAGAAATGGGCCACAAGCAGCACATACTCCGTAGGCATATTCGCGATTCGCGACATTATTCCCGGGGAGGAAATCACGTTCGATTACCAATTTGAGCGAATCGGCAACGGAGCAATTCCCTGCTTCTGCGGCAGTCCCAAGTGCAGACACATTCTGGGCAAGCCGAAAGAGGTTCCGAACATCAACAACGTAGCGCTGAATCGAGTGGATGAGAGCTAGCTCCCTCTCAAAGAGCGGATTCATCGCAATCGGTTGTTTCAATGCGACTGCATGATTGACATGGTGGATAAAGTGCTGATGCCGACGACGCTGCTGCCGTTTGTAGGAGAGGGGGAGAGGTGTGACGATGAGGTGTGCAAAGGGATCGCGAAGTCGCTGGCGAGCTATATGAATACGTTTAATTTGACGACGTTGTCGAGACGAGCGACGAAGCGCTCGTTTTTATTTGTTTCGCAGAGGGAAGGAGTGGGAGAATTTGTACCCAAAGAGATTCGAATCAGCGAAGATGAAAAGGAGAGCCAGGTTGAGAACGAAAACAACAATGAAAAGGAGGCAGAATCAAATGCAAACCAGCCTCAAACGCAAACGCAAACGCAAACGCAAACGTTAACGCTAACACCGACGCAAACGTTAACGCAAACGTCGACGCAAACGTTAACGCAAACGTCGACGCCAACACCAACGCAAACGCAAACGCAAACGCTAACGCCAACGCTAACACCAACGCCAAATGAATCATCAAACCTCACTCTACACAGTAAACCTACCAATCATCAAAGAGCGGTAGAAGAGGAACCTGCAGCTCCGCTTCTGCTGTATCGACGCTTTTCGTCGAGGGGCATTCAACGCGTTGGGGATTGGGTTTTTTGTTCCACGTAGAATTGTAATAGTTCACTTTTACTCAATCGAAATATCTCAAGTGGGTTAAAACGCGTATTCTTTATCGATCGTTGAGTCAGCAATAGTTTCAGTGGATCTATTCACGGAATCCAAAGGGTCGATTAGGACTTGTGGACATTGATTTCTTCAAGGACTTTACGGACCCTTCCATCTTTTCATTAATATATTAGTTTATTTAGTTTAGATATGCATGCATTGTTTTTGAGTTTGTTTTCTTCAAACAGGTGCTTTCCAAAAAACGTGCCTAAATTTTGATTACATATAATATATTATTTATTACTGAATGTTTTCTGCTGGTTCTGCACAATCTCTGTTGGACAGCATCAGTAATATTGATGTTCCAAAGGAGAGTGTACTCGTTTTGATTGTTTTGTTTTAGTGTAGTTGATGAACAAGGTGGAGAATGTATACAATTATATGTTTTTATTAAAGACGAATGAAATGATATCTGAGCTCCTCAATCGCTTATATGTCATTTTACGTAAAACTCCGATTTCATTCCAAGATGATGTGAACTACAAAATACGAAGGTACCTGTTATTCCAAAAATTCTGATCCACAGCAACTTTTACAACATTTTGAAGAAATTAACCATGAAGAGATTAAACGATCCGAAGATCATAAAGATGATCATCGAAATTATATTTGAAGTAGATACTGAGTGTGTCTGTCACGTAGAACTTGTTTTCCGAGAATGAACTGAATGGTCGCATAATTATAGATATCTTATCGGGCTTACACAACTACTATAAGCTCATTCCGGAAAACTATGTCGATATGTTCTTCCGCTTCGTCGAAGCAAGTTACAGCAAGTTCAATCAATCCGCCAAATCATATCTCTCCACATACCAAGATTCCAACGAGCCGCTACAGAGCCAGTCCTCTGAGAAGTCCTCGCAGCAAGGCTCCGTTTTGTACAAGAATCTGTCTCCGGCTCCTGACGTTGCGCAGTCGTCCACTCCGATGATAACGACGGGTTCCTCGACGGCGACGACAACACCGACGACAACGGCAGCGACGACGACGACGACGACGACGACGACGACGACCGTGGATGAGCAGGAACTCACACGAAGCCGCTCGCTGTCAATCGATCTTCTGAACCAACCGACCTCGATTCTGCAAATCAGACACAACAACAAAATGACCGTACCGTTTGGGAAGCGGCGTGAGCGATAGAACAAACCGATCATTTCGGTGAAGGACTCGATCATCGTGCTGGAAAACCTCATTTCTCCAGTTCGCTATTTGTGGCAGACGTTTCCGAAGTGTCAGGAGGCGCACCGACGCCCGATGATGAGTGCAAATCAAGCAGGTTTATGATGCATAGACGCGCTCTCGACACTGTGGACCAATCCCATCTATCCTCCGCAAGGATCTGTGACGCAGTACCGGAAATATTTGGACGTTCTGTGCCACTCGCTGGACATGTACATCGCGATGTTCTGCCAAATGAACCAAACGGACAGCGAGCAAACGGACGCGATCACCGCCACCGCGATCCAGATTCTCAAATACTACCCGAAGGAATACGTTGCATCCTCGCCAAATCGATAATGCATAGTACACTTCGTGGAAAGGCGTGCTTCTCCTGCTCCATTTGCCGTCCCAGTATATGCCTAGTCCGGTTTGGAAAGCGAATCTCGCGTCAGTGATCGCGGGGGGTTTGCTGTTTCCGTCCGAACTGCAGCGACCCGACGAGAGCAACATCAACATCATCGGGCGGATGTCGCTTTTCAGCAACTTGTGCAAGTGTTACTTCCCGCATCTGGACTTGATGGATCGCCGCATCATCCTTTCGCAGTACTGCCAGCTGTTTGGAAGCAACCGAACGTATTTCCAGATCCAGTTTCGAGCGCTCTCCGACATCGATTCGGTTCTCGGGCATCTTCGAAGCAGTCTCGCCACGCATCCGCACGAGCTCTCCGACATTCTCTATTCGCTGCTCGTCGTGTTCGTTCGGAAGGCGGAAGACGTGCAGTCCTTCGTACAGAAAGGAAACCGTGCGTGCGAAGTGCGGCCACAGGTCTACCGCGACGAGTGCTCCAATGCGCGATTCAACGCCTTCATTCGCAACGAGGTCTACACGCCGCCCTCGCCTTCCTACGATCAATACGGAATGCACTTCGTGTACAACATCGCAAGCGTAGAACTCGGCGACATCGTCATCTACAACACACGCTCCGACATCTTCGATCTTCTTCTTCGTCTCCGCATCGTCATATGCCAAATCATCTCCTTCTTCAAGCCCCAAACCACCGGCATGCTCTCGACGGCCACCGGGGTTTCTTCGCTTCTGCGATCCCCTGCGCAGCCGACGCACGGCGTCGTTCAGAATCCCAACACGCCGATGCGTGTGGGCGTTCCTGGCGTTGCTGGTGTTGCGAATGTTGCGAATGTTCCTGGCGTTGCGAGTGTTCCTGGAGTTGCGAATGTTCCTGGCGTTCCTGGCGTTGCGAATGTTCCTGGTGTAACTGGCGTTGCTAGTGTTCCTGGTGTTACTAACGTTCCTGGTGTTACTAACGTTCCTGGTGTTCCTAACGTTCCTGGTGTTCCTAACGTTCCTGGTGTTCCTGGTGTTTCGCCCACGACGGGCGCGGGAGCGATGAATCCGAGCCTGGGCGGTGCGAATGCCTCGATGAATCCTCCTGCAAACGCGTCGCTCTCGATGAATCCAGGGACAACAACAAACGGAGCCGCGGAAGTCCCGCCTCTTCCCTTCACAGAGCGATTCGTCCATCTGATCTACCGATTTGTGATCGCGTTCTTCAACTGCGGCGAGCTGTACTGCGAGGAAGTCCACCACCCGCGGGAAAAGGTGCGTTTCGAGGAGGGTTGTAAGGGGTAGCTCGACAAACACATCCACCATGTGGCGAAAGTGATCACGACTCTTCCTGAAGTGGTCGCCCAGCGCGTGTTATCGATGGCAATGGAAGACATTTACGCGATGACGAAGAAGCACCCCATTTTCGTCGAGTTCTTCCACGAATTGGTGAAGAATTTGGAGTCGTTCCGATACACTGCGCGCATTCTGCTCGATTTCTTTTTGACGCATCTCTCCGAATTCGAAAAGAAGCGAGACGATGAAATCCCTGTGATTTTCCGACTCTTCCGAGAGTTTTCGTCGCAGATCAACCTCACATCGCGCGATGACAATAACTTTTTGCCGAGTTTACACCAGCTAATCATCGAATGCATGCATCACTTATACAAAAGCCAGCACTGGGATCGGTATTTGGATGTTTTGTTCGGTTGCTTCAGCATTCTGCATTATCATCCTCCCAAAGAACAGAGCATGATAACCAAACAAGTGTCCGATGAGTTGGAGGAATTGGAGAATCAAGTGATGGAGAAGCTCCTCCAGATCACGCAGAATTGCACGGAGAGTCCAATTCGCGAACGGATTTTCGAGATTGCATTCCGCGTGTCGTTTCGATATCGAAACAAGATTTTGTTCTGCGTGAAAGCACTCGCAGGTCCGGACACGCTTCAGCAAAAAGGTACAGTTGGGTTGGGCGTGTGAGGCATAGCGTTCACCTTCTTGGAGCAGATGATTGAATACAAGTCGATCGACCAGGTGTACACGTTTCTGCAGCAGGAAAGCATTCGCGAAGACTTCGTCTCTTCGGTCTACTCCATTCTGCACAGCTCTTCGATTCTCTCCGCGAAGGTGCTGAACATCCTCGCTCTCTTCGGAGGCCACATGCGCGCCGAATTGAAAGGCCGCGTTGATCTGCCCATTATGGATCATCAAGTGTCTTCGCTCGTCATTCAAACCCAGAGCGGTTCTTCCTGGGATATTCACATTTACGTGGAACTGGCGGTGAAGTTCATCGACCGCAATTTGATTTTCGAGCCGCTGGATTACTCCAACTCCAAGCTCTGCTTGACGTTGCATTGCTCCAGCGAGAGCATCAACAAGATCCGGTCGATTCGCGTCCACTTCAAGCAGGTAGCGCTGCAGTTGCTCGAGAAAAGCCTCCTGCTCTGCATTCATCCCAGCGGCGCCGACATACCCGCCAATTTCTCGCTCTCGATGGCGCTCCAATCCGCCTCGCAGCAGCTTCTCGCCTCGCAGCGCAGCGCAGACCCGTCGAAAGATCCTTCCCAAGCCAAATCGATCCGCGTGCTGAGCACCGAAGACATCATCGAATCGCTTTCCACGCTTTCCGACCAAGACCGATCGTTCTCTCTGAGTCTTCTGGGGCTTCTAATCGCGTGCAGCGATGTGGATATCAAGAGCAGAGCGCGCGAGCTTCTTGTGAACTATGTCGCATACTTTGCAGGGCTTTTCGTTGCCTATGCAACACCTGCGACTTCGTCGGCCTCGCGCTCCTTCACCTATCAAGCCAGCCAGAGTTCGTTCTTGGGTCCGAAAATCCCAGCCTATCCTCTGGGATTGGCGATCCTTCCCGATTCGTTAAACCCCTGCTTGCTTCTGCATGTCCTGGTTCTCTTCCTCCAACGAGACCAGAGCGTGGTCTCGCCGACCACCATCCTTGTGATCAACTTGCTGATCTCCCAGATTCGGCAGTTGCAGCCGGACTCCATGCTGTTGGAAGGCTTCTTACTGGAGAGTTTTCTGCGCGTTGCGTCGCAGGCCGAGATGCAGGGACACTGGCGATTGAAGGCGAATCTGCTGCCTGTGTATCTCCACATTACCACCATTCTTCCGGATTTCGCCCTGTCTAGAGTTAGTGGCCTTCTCATTCGCTTCGTTTCGCGCGTGCTGTCGGTGATTCCCACGGAGTTGGCCGTTCCGACGCAGGAGAAGGCCTTCCAGCTGATTTTCACGCTGCTGCGAAGAGTGTTCCACGTGCCAGTCGAGGATTCGTTTGATCTGGCTTTGGTGAATTGATTGTAGATTGACTTCGGCTTCCAATTCGGCTTCCAATTCGGCTTCCAATTCGGCTTCCAATTCGGCTTCCAATTCGGCTTCCAATTCGGCTTCCAATTCGGTTACCAATTCGGCTTCCAATTCGGTTACCAATTCGGCTACCAATTCGGCTTCCAATTCGGCTTCTGATTCTGGTGCAGCCACGAGTTCATCGAATCCGACTGTCTCCAACCCGACCATCACTCCTTCCAATTGCGCGAATTCGACTTGCACGCTCAAGTCAACCATTTCTTCCAAATCCCCAAGCACATCCAATACTTCAAAAGCTTCCACATCTCCAAAGACACCCAAGGATCCCTTGGCGATTACTCTCTCACCCGCTCTGCCTAATCCTTCGAACGCGCCTGAGGTCGCTCTGCTGATCTCCCAAGAAGCTTCGGTGATCGCTGAGAAGAGACAGGACTTCGTGTCAGTTGTGCTGGATGGGCTTCTCGGCCTGCAAAACACGCTGGCTCGGACGATGTACGACCTCATCGCCATCCTGGCGAAGACAGAAAACGCCTCCGTAGTGAATCAAGTCCTTCGCGAGCAGATTCGTCAGCGCAAGGAGTTCGAGCGCGTGTCGCAGCTGACGATCTTAATGCAGTGCAATACCTACAAAGCCATGGCGCAATGCCTGGAACTGGGCTTTTTCCAGGTGACCGACAAAGTCGCGGCGAACGTGGTGATGGAGGCGTCGAAGAGCCTTCCGCATATCAACAACTACGAGGCGTTGATTCGCAACTGCACGCCGTATGATTGTAGGGAAGAGAGGAGGGAGAGTAATGAATAGTTGACGATTCGGTGGGCGCGCCGCTTTTGGGAACCAGCAAGCAACTCTCCAGCGTGAAAGTGATTTTGCAACTGATCATCACTTACGTCGTGCTGCGTTGTCGCTTGAATCAAGTACGCTGCAGTGCTGACTGTGCAATGTAGAACGACAATCCCGTTGTGCATGACACGCTCTCTCTCGACGCGCCTCTCCTAAAGCACGTGATTCTGATTTGTGGATGCGCATCGGAGTCGCTGAGCTCGCTAGCCACTCCCATTCTCCCCTATCTCTACCAGTTATCCGACGAGGCACTGCGTCTCTCCATCTTCGATATCAATTCCTGCGAGGAAATGCTCATGAAGATGTCGCAGGAGATTTGCGAAGGGCGGAGCGTGAGCTTATTCGAGCTCTACCAGCTTCAGCGACTGCTTCCTTGCTGGGTGCAGAACAAGGAACGCTTGGCTTCCGCCGTGCTGAAAGCAGTGACCACGTTCAAAGACATTACGAAGAACACCCGGTCGCTGAAGGAAAACGCGCTTCTTTTCTTCATTCGATTGTTGTGGATCTTGTCCAAGCTGTCGCTTTCGGCCTCGCAGCTCCGCGATTTGTTCTTCTACGTGAGCTCGGCAATCACGTTCATTCTGGCGAATTGCAGCACCTTGGGATCGCTCGAGCGGATCGTAGACTTGCGTGACGCGTTTTACTGTAGTACAAACCTATTTCGGAGATCGCTTCTGCCAATATCGACACGTTGATGGAGCTCCTTTTCTCGATGCAAGGAAATTCTCTGACTCCGATGCTCATCGCGGATGAAGTGCTGTCCATCCTGTCCGGGATCTTCTTGTATACGAAATCGGATCTGTTCGTGATGAAATTGTTGCAGAACTGGACGCGATTTGAATCAATCACGACCACCTGCTACAAAGAAAACAACCTCGCTGCGACCTCCTCGATCTTCCAGCTTCTCAACGTCGTATCGCCTCCCTTCTTGTCTCACGCGTAGCTTATCTCCACCTCCAACCCAGAGCTTCTGCTTCAAAAGCCCGCCTTCCTGAACTTCATCAATCATTTCTGGCAGCTGATTTCGTCTCGCTTCGAAGTCCTCGCGCAATCCAGCGAGCGCCAGAACGAGCCCGTCCCCGCGGCTGTGCAATCGCGTCAGCTCGCAGTGGCTTCCGAGCGCTTGGACATGAGTCTGTCGAACATCTACGAAGTGCTGGTTTCGATTTACATCCGTCTGATGAAGCTGAAATATGTGAGAGTGGCCGAGAGTGTTCTGATCACTAGAATCCGTCGATTAGCAACCGATTCGCCTTCGCGTTCACAGTGAAAAGCGGGCTCTCGCTGCAGAATCTGGCCGACTACTACCAGCAGCAGCTTCCGATGATTTTGAGCAATGAGCAGCGCGCTGGGATGATGATGTGAGGCTAGAAAAGCGTGGTGAGGAATAGGGATCTGCTGGATATTCTCCGCGATAACTCGATCTCCGATCTGAAGAAGGAGAGCGTGGTGGTCGAAGCCATCATTCCCATTGTGGCCGCGTCGTGCAACAACCGTTCGCTGGATCTGAAGGTTATCTTCTCGGATACGTTCTTAGACGCGTATGTTCACGGCTATCTCAACTTCGTAATGCAATCGAGCGCGACGATCTCGAAATACTTGCTGGTTGCCATCCTGCAACTGAACATCGTGCTGTTCCGCCATCTCTACAAGCAACTTGGCGATTATGGGAAGGAAATGAAAGCGTTCGCCAATCATTTGTACAGTTCGGTCGATGATCGCGTGGTCAGCTACTCGCTGCTGTTTTTGTGCCAGTACTGCCGTTGCTGCGACGAGCGCGATCAGGCGTATCGCCTGCTTCTCAACACGATTCATTTGTGTGATAATCACTGCCAGGACGTGATTATGAAGGCCAGCGAATTGCTGAAGGAGCGTACGTGATTTGTGGTTTTGTGTGAATGTAGCGCTGCTCCGATTGGATCAGGAGAGTCAGAGCAAGCTGTTCCTGAGAGTGGTTCGGAACATCACGATGAACGAGCACTTCCTCAGCCAGCAGAAGCAGATTTTGAAGCTGGTGATGCAGCACACCGAGTTGTTTTACTCCGCCGGCGAGCAGCTCTTTAATAGTGTCTGGAACTTTTTGTATCGGTACTTCGAGTACTTGGAAGACGAGCTGCGCATTGAGGCGGTCTCGACGCTGACGGCGTTCTGCTTGCGAAGACAGCAGACGCCTGGCTACAAGCCCGATCCCAACAAGCAGCGGCAGATCAACAGCCAGCTTTGGTATCTCGCGATTCGGCTTTGCTGCTCTCGGAAGAATGCTCCGCTGAAGTTAAAGCAGAGCTTGGAGCTTGTGAAGTGCGTGTTGAGACTGAAGCCGCATTATCCGATCGTGCTGCCGATGCAGCTTTTGAATGTGGAGAAGTTGCAGGATAAGGAGAGCACTTACTCGATGTTGGTGCAGATTGTGGTGTTCTGTCTTCCGTATCTCAAGGAGGACTACCGCGAAGAAAACCTCAAGTTCATTCAGAAATGCGCCGAGTTTTTGATTGGGATTCTCGAGGAGCCGCTCGCGTTTTCTTCGCTGATTTACCTTCTCCCCGAGCTGTTCGCGTCGCTCACATCCAAATCCACAGAAGTGCAGACGTTCCTGGCGTCGCTGAAGGATTCGCTGTTTGCCGTTTACAAGAACGACGAAGCGCTCATCCAGAAGCAGAGTCAGGACAAGAAGATCCGGATCTATCACGTGCTGTATCTCATTCAACGAATCGTCAAGCGCGCGCCTTCTGCGCTTCCTCGCTTCCTCGGCGATTTGATGATCTGCTTCGGCAATCTTCTCAAGTTCAGTCAGAGCGTGTACACGAACTATTTCTGTCCGCGATTCGGCATATCAGAGAATAACGTGATCACATCCAGGTCGCTTTGTCGAGGGGGATGAACGTGTAGAAACAGCCAGCTCGAGATTCGCGGACTTCCGCCTACGCCCGTTCTAAACACGAGCGACATCAACTCCTCGATTCTGCTGCTAATGGACCTGCTTTGTTCCCACATCGGCGATCTTCACGATCATTTGTCGTCCTTTGTGAACCAGCTGCTGTATCTCTGCAACATCGCCAAGTCGCGAGAGCGCTACATCACCAAGCTGCTGCAGTACATGGAGAGCTGGATGGCCTCCGAAAAGGAACTCATTTCGCTGGAGTACCTTCAGAAACTGATCGGCGTGGTGAGTTGTGTGACGAATCTCGCAGAGAACGTGGAATACATGGGATTGATTCAGTGCTACTGGAAGTTTGTGTATGCGGCGTGCAAGCGATATCCGGAATGGAAGCTTCTCCTAAAGCAGCCTGCTCCCAATCTTTCGGGAGTGCGACTGTGGATGGCGCGCGCGATGCTGGACGCCGTGATCCGCGGCGCGACGATTTCGAACTCCGAGATCCGCTCTCGCTTCCGCCCATTAGTGTACTCCATTCTGCCGGACGGGCTGTTCCAGCGATTGGTGCTGCTGTTCTCCTATCCGGGGCCCGAGAAATGGCAGAGTCGAATCCAAATCAACGCGTCGCTGCAGTGGCTTCCCTGGCTCGTCGATGTTCTGCTCACCTCCCTCATGGAAGCCGGCACCGTGCAGCTCGGAGCCTCCATGCGTCGCCTCCCCGCTCTCCCGATCGAGTTCATCTCCGTGGACGGGGAGTCGGCTTCGTCGCGGTCTTCGAATTCGCTGCTGAGCCAGCTGCTTCCGCTGCTTCGACGCTCCGTCTCGCTTCCGACGCCCGATCTCACGAACAATCTCATCGAATTAGCGTACGGCGATTCGCGAATCGCTTACAAGTACCCTCATCCCGAATCCTCTCTCATTGCAGACTTTGGGTCGACCTCTTCCCCCTCGCCTGGCGATCCTTCTCCACCTCCCAGCAGATCGAGCTGACGCACTGCATGGTGAAGTTCATGAGCTCGGACAGCCACCAGAAAACGATCGTTCCCGCCTGGGAGGAGCTCGACCACGACTTCAAGCAGTGGGGATCCACGTGCACGCTCCCCTACTGCCAGCAAGCCAAGTCGCGCTATGGAGACATCACGACGACGCACGGCTCGCAAGCTCTGCTCGAGGGAATCATGCGTTGCGAGCCGCTTCCTCGCCTTCCTCCCATCGTGTTGCTGCACTTAACGCGCTTTTGCGGATGCGGACCACAAGCGTCGGTGTTGCTGGAGCGGCTGCGCTCGGATTGCACGTCGGAGAAGGAGAAGCGGTCCTTCACTGCGTGCCTGGAGAGTGTTTATGTAGAAAAGCGAGAGAGGACTGATGGATAGAAGGAACTGAACGAGCTGGACGCCTTCGCGGCCATGATCAAGTCGATGAAGCTCCCCGAATTCCACAATGGAATCGTGCTCGAGCGGTTCGGGCGGTACAACACGGCGCAGCTCGCGTATCTCAAGGGCCTGCGGAACCAGAAGCTAATCGAGAACGCGGACGCGCTGCGCACGTTGGAGGAGCGGTGGAAGGAGTGCGCGTACAACCTCCGTTTGTACCAGTTGCTCTTCACGTACGGGAAACTGAACAACGACCACATCGTGCTGAGCTACTGCTTCACGCGCGTGAATAACTGGGAGTAGGTTCTTTGGATCCGGTTCCAACGCAGCGAGTACAAACGCATGGTGACCTTCATGGTTCCGAAACTGTCGTCGAACAATCTCGAAGTGCAGCTGATGATCAATCGGTACTATCAAATCACGCAGCTGGGCAGCGGAACGAACGTGCGTCCGCCCACCATCCTCACCGACATGGTGCTTCGCTCGTACAAAGTGCTTCCGCACCAGCCCGTGAACCAGCACGACCTTCTCTTCCACGCGAACTGTCTGCAGTTCGATCTGGGCATGACCTACCACTTCGTGAAGCAGGGTCCCGTCAAAGGATTCACCGACAACCTCCGCATGCCGCTGAAGAACCTCACGATCAACACGCTCAATCCGTGGGATCCCCTGCGCATGTGCGAGGAAGTGATGAACTGGAGAAGCAGTTTCATCACGCAGTTCGATCAGCGAATCCCGCCAGATATGCCGCACTGCCCCATTCCTTTGTCCTCCTGGTCGCTGCTTCTCTCGCGAGCGGCGCGCGCGCAGAACCTTCCCGAGATCGCGTATCAGTACATTATGTCGCAGCCTCCCGACTCGTCGTCGCGCTATGACTCCTTCGAAACCTGGGCGGAGAAAGTGTGGGTCAGTCTGGATCTCAACACGCTGGACGGGCAGATCTTCAAGGATCCGGAAGTGAGCCAGCCGGAGAATCTGAAGGACAGCCAGCTGGAGACGTTGAACTATCTGAAGGGGCTCTACTTCCAGAAGAATCGGAACATCAGCGAGGCGATCAACTGCTTCAACCGCGCTTCGAAGGGCCTCAAAGTCTGGGAGTCGTTCTCCTCCATCTTCTACCAGCGCTGGAAGGAGCACGGCGAGTCCAACGACGCCAATCAATGCATCAAGTCCTGCATTCATCAGCTCTGCCAAAGCAGCGACGTGACCAAACCCATGATGCGGCTTCTCCACATCGTTCTGTTCTCCTTCGAGAACCAAACCATCAGCACCAGTGCTCTCAACAATCTCCCGCAAGTCCCTACCCTGCACTGGATCCACTATCTCCCCGTGCTGCTGTCTCGTCCCACCGAGACGCAGATGTACTTGTTCAATCACGTGCTGCGAAGCATCATCCTGGAGTTCCCGCAGATTATCTTCTATCCGCTCTACACGCTGTGCCAGTCTCTCGGAATGCCTACGGATAATCCGTATTACCGACCTACGACGCCTCTCCATGGCGCTGTCGTGGAGCCAGCGGTACCTTTGTTCTTCTCGCCTAATCTCTAGTCGGCGCAGCTTGCATTGACAGGTCGTGCGAGCGAAAAGACCGTCCCGATCAACGTTTCCGATGTCGATTCTCCTCACTTGTAGACCATCTACTTCTTCTGGATCATCATTCTCTCTCACTACCCCCACGTCTCCCAACTGCTTCTCTTCCTCGACACGCTCTACTCGCTTCCCCGCGATCCCTACCGCGAGCTCCTCGCCTCCGTCGATCGCATCCTCAGCTCGGCCTATTCCGAGGTGGCTTCCAGCGGTCCCTCGGCGCTCTCGCGTTCCGTCAGCGACGCCATCAAGCAGCGCCTCGACAGCGTGATTCTCGCCACCTTCAGCTCCAAATGGGCGGTTCCCTCGACCTTCGCCTTCATCGAACAATACGAAAAGGCCTTCCTCTCCGACTTCGCCTCCTCCATCGTCACTTCCGACGGCCTCGTTCCCAACGCCTCCTTCCCTTCTTCGCTCCAAGCGCTCATCCAGCGCCTGCTTCTCTGGAAGGACTTCCTTCGCTCCGAGATCAAGCGCGATCGCCCCAACCCGAACGCCTTCTTCGGCTGCAAGTTCCTTCCCAACATCCTGGAAGTCCCCGGGAAGTTCCTCTCCTACACCAACTTCTACCGATCGCTCCCGACCGTGCAGAGCATCGCGCCCGTCCAGCCGCGCCTCTACCTCGACCGCCACGGCTCGCGGTATTTCTCGCTGACCGACGAGCGGAGCCACGAAGCGCGTTTCTATTTGGAGCAAGTCAACGGGATCGAGCTGATTCTGGAAGAGCGCGTGTTGGCGCAGCAGATCTACTTCGAGAAGATCTGCTTCGCTTCCCCGCCGATCCAGTCGCGCCATCTGCACGCTCCGCTGCCTTGCTATGTGAACATCGGGCCCACGCTTCGACTCGTTCGCTCGGATGCGTCCATGGTGTCCTTCGAAGGCGTTTATCAAAGCGTCCTGCAAGACACGTTCGACAAGGAGCAGCTCACCTTCGCCTTGCGGCTTTTCTTCGCCAATCACTCCGATCTGCCGCCAAGCGACGCGATGAAACCCCTCATCGCCTCTGTTCCCCGCGAGAAGCTTCTATCGAGCGTGGTGTCGAGCGACACGCTGACGTCCTTCGTGTATTCTCTGCGACGCTTGGGTTCCTGGATAGATTCAATCGACTCGCGAGCATCAGCGATTTCTACGTGTTCCGAAGCGAATTCGCGCGGCACTACGGCTACTCCCAGTTCATTCAATACCTCTTCGCGTTCGTCTCGTTTTCTTTCGGTCACACGCAGGTCTCCGATGAATCGCCCGGCGCATTTGTTGCTGAATCTCCGCACAGGCGAAGTCACCGCGCTGAACGTCCATCCGAACTACCTGTCGCATGAGCAGGGCTACATCGTGCAGGAGCCTTCCTCCGTCCCGTTCCGCCTCACGCGCAACGTCTGCGCGTTTATGACGGAGTTCTACGAGGAGGGAAGCTTCCAGCTGGCGACGAGCGCGTACGCTTTGGTAGGAGCGAAGGAGGGCGATGAGGCGCAGACGTTCAAGCGGAACGAGGAGATGCTGCAGGTGTACGCGAAGATTTTCGAGCGGGATAATATGCGGTTGCTGCTGAAGCCCACGGTGATGGGGGAGACGCGGGACTTCGCGTCGAATAACGTGGATTCGTTTGTGAAGAGAGGCCTTCGATTGGCGCCGAATGTGGATTTGACGCCGTTGCAGGAGAGAAAGGAGGATGTGGATCGAGGGATTGTGGAGGCGGTGCAGCAGAGCAAAGAGATGCAGAACTTGCTGTCGATGTCTCCGTCCTTCTGCGCCTGGTTTTAGTCATGAAATTGTGATGGAGTGTTTGTTTGAAGAAGGATTTGGAGGTGAAAGTGGAGTGGAATGGATTGTGTTGTGTTTTGATGAATGACTTAGTAAAGGGATGACAGGACTGGGGAAAGTGAGAAGGAAAAGCAAATCAATGTGGAGATATGTGTGAATGTAAATACGAAAACAAAGAGAAGAACAATAGTGACAAGCTGACTGACATTAGACCAAGAGTTTAAATCAATGTGAATTGTTATTCCATTCATTTATCCTTTCATTCAATCATTCATTCATTCATTCATTCATTCATTCATTCATTCATTCATTCATTCATTCATTCATTCATTCATTCACTCACTTCCTTTCCAACAAACAATCTCATCTCTTTACTCTCTCTCCACACACTTCCAACGCATCATTTCTCCCGCCTTCAACGGCACCACCACCGAGTCTCCGAACTCGTAGCTCTCCGGCACCTTCCACTCCTTTCTCTCCAGCTCCACGAACTCTTCATTCCGCGGCAGTCCATAAAAATCGGCTCCGTTCTCCCTACGATTCGCTCCCTCGCCCTTCCCTACGCCGCGAACGCCTCCAGCTTATCCAAACACCCGTTCGCTTCGAAGATCTCCGCGTACAGCTCCAGGCTCAGAAACTCGCTGAAGCATCCAGCGCAGGCCTTCTTGCATTCCTTCGTCTCTCGCACGTGCGGCGCGGAATCGGTTCCCAAAAACAATCGCTTGCAGCCCGACTGAATCGCTTGGATCAGCGCCTGGCGATGCTCCTCGCGTTTCAGAATCGGCAGGCAGTAGAAATGGGGCTTCAGGCCGCCGACGAGGAGTTCTATTCGATTAGGAAGGAGGGAAGGAGGCACGGTTGCGATTGTACATCAGATGCTGAGGGGTGATGGTTCCTCCGACATTCGCACCGCCGTTCAATACGAATTCGACTCCCTGCTTGGTTGTAATGTGTTCCATGATGATCTTTAACTCCGGAAGATCTGCATGGAGAGGTTTCAACACGGACTCGACGAAAGCAGCCTCTCGATCAAAAATATCGATCGACGGATCTGTTGCCTCGCCATGAACGCACAGTGGCATTCCCAACTCTGCCATTTTTCGCTACTCATTAAAAAGCTCCATTATCATTACTAGAACACTGTAGACATTATGGATATCGGTAACGCCATTGTCACTGTTCGTTGTCGCTCCAGCAGGGTAATACTTGCAAGCATACACTATTCCACTCTTTTTGGCCAGTTCAATTTCCTCCGGCGTTGTGTGGTCCGTGAGATATCTTCGTAAAATGCAAACAATAGAAGTACAGCGTCATTAACAACTGTAAATCACAGTTCTTGGGGAAATTGGCTTCGATTCGTTTCTTGTACTCTCTAGCCTACAATTGAAGGTTCCTGTTATAGGGACTCTTTCCACAGTGGTAATAGGATCGGGCATAAGATTTGGCATAACTAGGAAACGTTTATAGATCGTAGAAACCTTTGCTAGCGACCTATTGGAAACATGAGCAAGAAACTACTACACCATATTCTTTCCATCACGGAGATGGATGTGGAAATCATCCGGACGTCGAATTCGAATTCTCTGCATCAAAAAACAAAAACAAATAAAGATAGTGTTGTGGGAATCGAACGAACGAGATGGAATTCAATCAATTTGCTTTTTCTTTTTCCTGATTAATATGTAACATATTATTGATTGCGAAGAAATTTAGATATCAACGTATTGTGAGAATATGGAATTAATGCAAGTCAAAGGATTGACATAAATGACAATGCACTCAAACAAATAGAGGTTAATCCATTTAATATAATTTGATGAACTATTCTATCTATTTCAGCAAATGGAAAATAGTTAGAATTAGAAAATAAAACCAAGAAAATGAAGTGAATGAAAAACTGGAAAATAACGTTTTTACATATAATAATGCAAAACATTGCGGAATTGGTCAATTCCCTTACCAGTGACTATCATATTGATAGTTCCATCATCCAATATGTGCAAACCTGTGTGGATGAAGAATGGAAAGTGGATGGCTGGATTTCACTCATATTGAGTAATAGAGAATGTGTAGTATTGCAATTCAATAATGGAGTATTCTTGAATCAAGGATTTGTCCTCAATGATGAAAAAGTGTTGAAAGTGATTGGAAATCATCAAATTGGTGCTATTTCATATAATGAAGAATTCTTGGTAAAAGGAATCGTGGATTTGGATCATGGAAGTCGATTTGAAGGATTGGTATTGGTAGAAAACGAAAAAGAAAACGAAGGTAAAATAGGAATTCCATTTGGATATGGTGAAATGTATGATGATGATGGATTCTTGATGTACAAGGGCATAATGATCAATTGGAAACGATTTGGATATGGAACGAGTTATCATAATAATGGATGTATTGAATATGAAGGATATTGGTGTGATGATAATTGGTTTGGAATTGGAAAAGTGTTTGATTTATCAGGAAAGTTTGTAAAAGAATGTGAATGGTATAATGGAATCGAATGTGATACTGATGAAAAATATGAAGGAGATGGCAGCAAACCAAAGAATATTGGAATCAAATATTTGAAACTGAGTAACAATTGTGTATTGGTTGATTGGGATGTTTCCTTGTTCCACAATTTGGAATCAATTGAAATCGGGAATGAATGTTTTAAATCAGTGCAAACATTCAAAATCGATGGATTGAATCGATTGAAAATCATCAAAATCGGAAACAATTCATTTACCCAATATAAGAACACATATGGAGGGAATGAATCGAAATCATTCCACATATTGAATTGCGGATCATTGGAATCGATTGACATTGGTGAATTCAGTTTCAGTGATTTTGCTGGAGACTTTGAATTGAAGAATCTGCCACAACTACAATCCATTCAAATTGGAGCAATTGAAAGTGATTCATACAATTTTTATCATAGTTCATTTATAATTCGAGGTAAGCAATGATATGATATTGAATATTTGGGTAATGCATAGATCTTCCAAATCTACAATCCATTACAATGGGTAAATATACATTTTGCCTCTCTTTATCAACAATAATCGCAAGTATTGAATGAATTTGAATGAAATCATAAATTTAGATCTTCCAAATCTAACATCCATTCATCTTGGCTGGTGTGCATTACAAGGAAGAGAATATGACGAATCATGCTCCTTGATAATGCGAAGTATGAAAATGAAATGATTTGGAATAATTGAGTGTAGATCTCCCCCTTTTTTCATCGTTCCAAACAAACGGAATGTGCTTTTATTATACTGCAAATCTTGAATTGGAAAGTATTAGGAATCATTGGATCCTGATATGATTTAGATATTCCAAATTGCAGAAATGTTTGGGATCCATCTTCATTTACAAATGTCGTGTCACATAAAATTAGCAGTATTCTTTGTCCATTTATATTTTTATATATAATAGATGTCTGCTCCTCATTATTTCCAAATGTATATAACATTGATACATTTCCTTCTATTGAATCAACTGCTACATCCATTGTTCTTGAACCATGGACATGCAATGATATGGAATTTGAATTCTTCGATATCAGTCGATTTACTCTGTTAGAATCATTAGACATTGGTAGTAATAGCTTTGCATTTGTGAAAATGTTCAAAATTAAGGCTTTGTCAAGACTGAAAAGTCTGAGAATAGGAATACGATCATTTACTGAGCGAAAAGGTAGTTTTGGAGAAAACAAATCGAAATCCTTCCACATTTTGAATTGTGAATCATTGAGATCGATTGAAATTGGCGAATTTAGCTTCAGTGATTATGCTGGCGAATTTGAGTTGAAGAATTGTCCACAATTACATTCTTTGAAGATCGGATCAATAAAAAAGGATTCGTATAATTTTTATTATAGTTCATTTGTGATTCGAGGTATTGATATGAAATCAGCAGTGATGAATAGATCTTCCGGAATTGAAGTCCGTTGAATTAGGAACGAAAGCCTTCAGTAGTTCGCAAACTGTGAGAATTGAAAGTAAAGAATATGAGTGAAGCTGAATCATCAGAACTCCCTAAATTGCATTCTATCAATCTCGGTATGTTTTCTCTTTGTGGAAGAAGAAACGACCCATCTACCCGTTTGATCATGACAAGTTGGAATAAATTCAAAGACTTAACAAAATAGATCTTCCTTCCCTCTTATCCATTATTAATATTCAAGGAAATAGTTTTTCCTATTACAACACCGTAGTATTACAGAGTAAGTGAGGAACGTGTATGCTGGCTCAATATGCAGATATTCCGAATCTTACAACTTTGACCATTCCTTACTCATTTGCATCAGTTCAAGAGATGTCAGTATCGAGTAAGCACCAAGGATAATTGTTAACAATAGAATTATCCTCTGCATTTTGCACGTTTTTGAAGGGTACTCCGGGATATCATACAATCAAATTGAACGACTCGTCATGCAAGAATTGTACTATTTTTTAGAATTAGAACCTGTTTGTTTTTACATATGTATTTGGGATAGAATCTGTCTTGATGGCAAATAGGGGTTGTTTGTTGTCATAGAACGTGTTAATAATAGAATTTCTAAAATATATATTACTCATTACCGATTATGAGAATATAGAGACGTTATAACAATCCTCATCCGTGATATCCATTTTTAGGCTCATTCCATTTGCTTATCAAGGACCTCCTTACTTTAACAACATAAATATGTTCCAATTTCATGTTTTCTACAGTACTCCACTGAATAACTCAATGTCTCTGTAGTGTGCAATAAAAATCCTATTTCCCTTTCTCCATCCTATCGGTTAATTCGTTCTGGCTGTTGTAGTGTGTTTCCGTTTTTGTATGGCAACATACGCCACGTATCTACATTGATCACTTAGTATCTTGCAACAAATGATATAGTAAAAAAGAATTTTTAAATTTTAAACTCATTTTAAATATTGCTTTATCCTGTGGATAGTTTCATCTTCTTTCGATTTAGCAAATTGAACGCAGTAATCGTTTTCAAAAACTGTAAGAATTGTTTTAGACTTACCGATTCAAAGAAATCTAGTGATCTACCCTTGGTGAGTATAATCTCATGAACTTCATGATATCCGACATTAATAATTATGGAAAAGACGCTTTAGTACGGTTATTTTACTAAAACGATGCTCCACAATAAATCGATGTATTACGTTCCGCTTACGTCATATTTCTTTGTTTACTTCAATGAGTGAGGTTTTAAGGCATATTCACTACCACGCTATTATTAATAATGGATTTTTTAAACGAACTAGACCTTCCATATTGCACAATTTTAAATTTTCTATCCAATGCTACTCCGGCTATCCAATTTTAGACGCGTTTGTCTTTCTAGGAATAATGAAAAGTTCGTTCTCCAATCACATTTATGCACAAAAACAGCGAGTCGTGGTATTTATTTTATATCGATAAAGTGGATTTTAGTAGATTTTTGTTATGATCACTCCACTTCTGTTGCTTTTTGTTTTTGCGCAAATAGTTGTTGGAGAAATAATATGTGGAGCTGGACAGACGTATGCACGATTACTAATGCATTGTGAAGCTGCTTGCAATGAGCAAGCAGTGTCAATTTTGTCGGGAAGTGAAGTTGTTTATTTAAGCCCGATGTATATAGAATATGTAGATTCTGACACGGAAACCTGTTTAAAGTCATCTGTGAACAATCTGTATACTATGAATTTCACGGACACACAGAATGATGGCTGGTATCCGGGGTCGTTTTTGATTGTATATGGGAAGTATGGTAATATTTTCTATAAGTATTACCAGGTCAGTCCCACATACGAAACTCATCTTCTCTCTCTGCATTATGCTTTAAATTTAAACGAGGTTTGGAAAATATCGGAAAGCTATTATCCAGGATGGAATACCTATTGGTTTGATGATAGTGCGTGGAGTGAAGAGCAATTAGGAGTTCATTTTGGGAACTATTTAGTTACGCAGTACTTTCGGAAACCCTTTGCGGGAATCGACGGTATGGCATCATATGAAGTACGTCTGAAGTATCGATTTGGCGTTGTGGCTTATATCAATGGAATCGAAGTGTTTCGTGATAATATGCAGGAGGGACCAGTTACACCAACCACAACATGTTCTTCCTCTTATCAGGTGTCTGAGTTCCATGGATTCATTCGTCCAGGGAATGAAATAAGTCATACGCAGAGCATTCTGGCCGTAGAGATTCACTTTGCGCTTATGAATCAAACATTATTGGACTTTGATGCTTTTGTCGCCTTTATGGCTCCTTCTGTGTTTGAAAGCAATTGCATCGTTTATCCATATCCAATGGACATTACTATTTCTGATAGTGGTGTACAGAATCCGGCCGCTATTTTTGATTTTGATACTTCATCCCGTGTGATACTGGATTTATATGCAAACGATACTTACACTTGGACGATGACAGTGCCCTCCTCCATATGGCCGCTCGTGAATGGGCTGCGCTATTATTCAGCGTCTTCTATCAATGGTTTTCGACACGCTGTTTTTGCTGGTGTAGATAGATCGGCGGTTCATCCATTGTTTACCTTGCGCGACTTGATTCTTCAAGACAATGTATATTATAATTTCAATTCTTACTTTAACACGAGTATCTATAAGCAATTTCACTGGATCGTCTATGATTCATTTAGTAGTATATATATGGAACACGAGATCACGCCGATGATCTGTCGGACAGTTGTCCCTACTTCTCTCGAGCTCCGAGGCACTGACTTTGAAATCTTTCGAGATCTGGGAGCGGTGCTAATCCGCCCTGTCAACCTCGATTTTTCCGATTGCGAGCTCTCCCAAGCCCTGCCTGCAGGCTTAACGTTCAACGCGGATGGCTGCACGATTTCGGGGACTGCCACGGAATCGATGCCGCGAACCGAGTTTGTAAAGACGTCCAATGCCGTGTATCCTCCTGTGTCCGGAGCGTTTAACCTCACAGTCCGTGTTTGCACGGGAACGGTGTTGCAGGTTCACCGCGTCTATAAGAGTGGTGCGGCCAGCGAAGGATTCACTGTGTACAACGCGCTCGATGAGCAGAACGTGTACTATTCCGTTCCTGTGCAAGGAAGCCAACGAGATGCGGATGATACGAAGGTTTTCATTTGCTCTGAATCGAACCAGATCGGAGTCGACCTTATTTCATCTATGGGTGCATGGAATACAGGTTCCTTTCTGTATATTGAGTATCTTCTGGACGATGAGCAAACCGTAACGCTTCTTCGAGCGCACTATGATTCCTATTTGGGGCTGAGCACCTCGTACACCCTGACAGTGAATTTTCCCATTCGTCCTTTTGAGGAATGGCATTATTACACTGCTGGCGACGTTCCCGATTCCTGGTATTCTGCCGAGACGAGCGGATGGTCGAGCGCGTCGAAGGGGCACTTCACTCCGTTCACCAACCGCGTGCAGCTGTACAAAAAGACGTTCTCTCTGGACTCTCTGGAGAACGTGGCCGGGTTCATGGTGTCGGTGCAGTACCAGTACGGCGTTGCGATCTACCTGAACGGAATCGAGGTGTTCAAGAACGGCATCACGGAGGTGAGCTCGACGGCGACGATCAGCAACATCTACCCCGCCCTGACGTTCCACAGCGTGACGCTGCCGGTGAAGACGATGATCGTGGACGAGCAGCCGTCGGTGACGTATTTGCAGAGCGGGTCGAACACGATCGCGATCGCTCTGATCGCCAACTCGGACACCAACGTGAACTCCACCTTCGATGCCGCTTTGATGCTCCTCGAAGATGCTCAGTCCAGCCGGGTGTTTTCGTATTCTGTGAGTTTTGAGGGCGCTGAGCAGGTAAGTAGTAATCCCTTCGGTCATTCCCACGATTCCTATTTGAGCTCCCGGGAGTGCGGAGAGAATTCGATCGTCATCACGTTCGACAACGATCGTCGCGAATGGATCTCGTCTGTGCTTATCCAGGTGTACGCTGATGACATTAAAACCTACCCTCGCAAGTTCTCCGTCTTTGCAAAGAACCAGGCCGATCTGGAGTGGACCGCATTGGGCAGTTATGAGAATCTCGGCTGGTCGCTTTCCGGCCAGACCAAGAAGGTGTGGCTGAAGAACAACAAGCCCTACAACCAGTACAAGTTCGCGAACTTCGGAACGGGCGACAGTACGAGTTGTCCTTGGAAGCTGAACCGAATCGACATGCTCTCCGATAACCTGAATGTGAACATTCCCGATCTGACCTATACCGAAATCAATCCCTTTGTGAATATCGAGATCGCCGAGGCCTACCCGAACTCGAACTTGTACTACGAATTCTCTGTGAATCCCGAGCTGCCCAACGGCATCCACCTCTGCCCCGTTTCTGGAATGATTTATGGAACTGCGACCGAGGGAAGGGATACGCAGACGTACACGATCTCAGCCCGCAAGGCAACGGGAGAGGCGACGAGCGTTCAGCTCAGTTTTGATGTGGAGGTGTGCACTGGAGGTCGTTCGCTCATCACCGTGCGCATGAAGGTGGACTCGTACGTCTCCGAAAACACCTACGAGCTCTACAAGGGTCGCGGAGACGGAGGCGAACTGATCACCTCGGTGGACATGATGCCTGTCGCCAACTCAATCTATTTCCTGGACAAGTGTCTCAACGACGACATCTACACGTTCTACGCGGCCGATTCCTACGGAGATGGCTGGGACGTGACTGCGGGATACATGTTCACGGTGGATGTGGGCGCCACCATCTTTGAGGTGAAGGCCGTCCCGTCGGGCCAGAAGCCGGTGCGCGTGCCGACGTCGTTCTCGTCGTATCTGCCCTTCCAGATCAAGTACAGCGAGTGGATGGTCGCCAAGGTGAGCTCGCCTCCCGCCGACTGGACGTCTGTCTCGTACAGCGGCAGCGAGTTCCAGCCGATGAAGGCGGCGGAGATCGGCGCGAGTCAGTACGTCACGACCTACATCCGAAAGACGTTCGAGATTCCCAACCTCGACGACTACCAGGTGCTGAACGTCCGCATTCTGTACGAGGGCGGTGTCGCTGCCTACTTTAACGGCAAGCTGGTCGCTCGCTTCAATCTCGAGAAGGACTTCAAGGAGAACACGCTGGCAATGTCGGTCCACGACACCCAAACTTTCTCGAGCTTCCACATCATCCTCCCCATCATGGACGCCGTGGTCGGCACGAACGTGCTTGCCTTCGAAGTCCACGCAGCTCCGGACTCAGCGAACCCGGTGACCTTCGATGCGACGGGAATCTTCGGAGTCGAAGACTGCTCTCTGGTCCTGGATACGTTCTCGTCGATCACTGGAAAGACTCTGTACGGAAAGGATGTGAAGGACCTGTTCAAATTCGAGATTGGCCAGCTCGGTCAGATCGACACTTTTGCTGGCAACGCGATTGAGTGGACGGTGGAGAATCTGGAGGGAACCGTGTTCAACAGCTTCGGCTTTTTGGGCTCCAGCCTGTCCACCTTCAGCTACTCTCTGGAGGGCACGCAGAACGCGGGCGAGGAGAATCTGAACATGTTCTCGGTCGTGGACGAGCCCGTCTTCAGCCGCCAGATCATGCGCAAGGACTCTCCGCTCAACTACCTCCCCTTCAAGAACTTCAGATGGGTGGTGGACGCGAAGGGTCCCGGCAATCTCCAGCTGCAGACCTTCCTCTTCTACTATTGCAAGACCTCCGGAGAAATCTGTGAGGGAGACGGCGAGTACCCTGCCGTGGGCGAGGGCCAGTTCTCCCCTGCGTTGTGCGAGTACGGATTCACGGGATACAAGTATCGCGAATGCCACAACGGCGTGCTGGGCGAAGTGATGACGGAGTACTGCACGTACAAGATTCCTTCCGATTTGGAGTACCCGATGCGTACCGTGGAGATCGTGAAGGACGTCAAGATGAAGCCTATGGTCCCGACCTACAGCGAGCTGATCACCAGCTTCCGCATCAACAAGGAGCTCCCGCGCGGACTGAAATTCGACAACGTGACCGGTACGATCTCGGGCACTCCCTTGGAGGAGACCACGCTGAGCGAGTACACGATCGTGGGCGAGAACCCCGTGGGCGCGGTGCAGACGATCATCAATCTGTCGGTGCGGAAGGGACGATGCATTGGCGACGGCAACTTCCCCACGACCAACGTGGACGAGGAGGCCGTGTACGACTGCGCGCTGCTGGGAAGCTTCGTCGGCACGCAGAAGCGAATCTGCAAGCTGGGAGAGAGCGATGGCGAGTGGAGCCGAATCAGCGGAATGTGCATCTCCATCGTCACTCTCGTTCTCATCATTGTGGTGGCGATCGTCGTGTTATTTGTCCTTATTGTCGTCTTAATCCGAGTCACCCGCAGGAGAAAGGCTGTGCATGGCGTGAAGGCCACCTCGAAGACGACGACCACTCCTAAGAACAAGAACAAGGAGAAGGCCGCCAAGACGAATAAGGTGAAAATCTAAGCAGAGAGCGATTGATCACCCATCGATCTTCGATGGATGAATCAATCAATGAATCGGTCGATGGATCGAACGAATGAGGATCGTGTTTGTTAATCATTCGTTTTTTCTTTCATTGTCTGTTTGTTGCCTCAAACATCCCATCACTCCGCGAGCACTTCGTCGATCGTCATCTTCCCTCGCTGGTTCAGTCGGCACAGATAGCGCTCCATCTGCTGCGCGAACGGGTCTTCCTCGATCACCACCACCTCGTTCTGGTCCCACACCTTCTCCAGCGCGCACAGCCACACCAGCTGGAAATAGTCATAAATGCTGAGCTGTCTCTCCAGCAAGCTCTCGATCTCCTCGATCTGCTGCTTCACCGGCATCTCCAAGTACTTCTTCGCCGCCTCGAACACCAGCAAATAGTGCGCCAGCACGAGCTGCTCCGACCGCATCTGCGCGTCACCCCGCCGTTCCCTTCTCCTACCAACGCCACCACATTGCGCCGATTCGAGAACATCGGCACGCTCTCGTCCTTCAGAATCGCCACGTTCTCCCCGATCGGCCGCTCATAGCTCGCCAGACGCATTCTGCAGATCGCCGCCAGCGCGCGCAGCACGCGGAACTCGTTCTGCACGGAGATGGGGCCGCGCACGCGCGAGAACAAGTCGGAATACGCCGCGTTGACCTCCGCTCGGCTGAACTCCGCGAATTCCTTCACCGTCATCATCAGCACGCGCAGCTGCCGTTAAGAAACCTTCACACTTTCAAAAAAATAAACAAAACAACAACAAAACAACAACAACAAGACAACAATAACAATAACAATAACAACAACAACAACAACAACAACAACAACAACAACAAACCCTAAAAGGATATGATTCCGAACACGGTCACCGTCCCCGCGTCGTCGTGGCATCGACTCAGATACACGTACCGCGCGTCCGAATGGTCGTAGTGCAAGTCTCCGTCGAAGTTCAGCAGGTTCGACGAGAACACCGCGCTGTGCTCGCAGATCCACTGGCTCCGACGGCTCAGCTCCGCGCCGAACGTCTGCAGCGACGGGTCCACCGGGACCATCGGGATCCCCGCGGTGAGCTCCTTCTCCTCGCCCGAATCCACTTTCTCCATCACGTCCAGAATAATGGAGTTCCAGAATTCCCCGCAATCCGCGTCCTCGTCGAGCAGAAACTCCTCCGGCGAGGCGGAAACGCAGTCCTCGGGGGTTTCGGCGTGCGGGAGGGTGTGGTATCTCCGCGGGAGAATGGCGATGGCGACGGTGTCGGGGGAGCAGAAGTTTCCGTCGAGGTTGTCGTCCTCGACGAAGCCGTAGGAGAAGAGAAGGCGCCGATTGTCGCGGCGGCCGTAGGAGTCCATGACCTGCGCGCCCTGGCGCAGATTGAGGAGAGAGGTGATGACGAAGGCCTTCTCTTTGTCGTCGTATTCCCAGGTGGTTTGGCGCGGGCGCGTGTGGTTGAGCATGTCGGCGAGCGGGACGAGGATGCCGTTGTTCAGCGAGTTGAAGAAGGAGCCGAAGTTGCGGCTAGAGTGGAGAGGAGCGAGGAGAGCGACCTGCCGATGAGAAGGCGAACGCGGAGGTATTGATCGAAGGGGTAGCGGCAGAAGAAGGAGTTCACGTCGCACATTTTTTGGTAGTCGCGGTAGATCTCGACCACGCGCGAGCGGATGCAGATCGACTAGGCGGTGAGAAGAGAAGGACGGAGAAGAGGTACGAAGTAGGAGCCGTGGAGCTGGTTGATCTCGCTGTTTGTCCAGATGACGGGGATGTTGCTGATGTCCTCCGGAAGGGTGTCGTAGTAGGGTTTGTAGAAGGAGTCCTCGTTCTCCATGTCTTCGAGGAGGAAATTGGCAAAGTAGACGTGCTTGTATTTCTCGAAATCGACGTTTTGTTCCCGCAGATTGGCGGACAGCTCGCAGTCCCTTCCCATATCGCAGGACATGATTAGTTTCTTTGGAATTTTGATAATTTTGGTTCCACGCTGTATATCACGATTCAAATACACCCCGCGCATCTATTGGAAACCACAACTAGCAAACCTGTACGCTTCCTCCCATCGAACACATATCTACACAATCAAATTCGGCTCCGTTGTCTTTTAACCACTTGAGAAATATTTCAAACTTTGGGTCGTCCACAATCCCCTTCTGAAAGGAAACAGAGGTTACGGAACGCCCAATCGGAGTAAACAAGTCCTACATGTCATAATCTAGACAGCTCGACTTACTGGACCAGGAGAACTAAACTTTCGTATTTCACCGTCTTTGTAGTAATTGTACGAAATACTTAGGTTATACGGGTCCATGAGGAAAAATGTGTATGTTCTCTTCAGTTTGAATACTCGATATAAAATCAACGAGACGTTTTGTTTTTTCAACTATTCACTTTTTTTTTGGCACCATGGCTGACGATACAAGTAGATCTTGATTTGTGATTGGTTTAGGAATAGAAGGTGACATAGAAGTAATGAATCAAGAGATGTATCCTGATACACTCGATGAACCCGTGTTAATGACTTTTGTATTTTTAACTGGTACTCTTGATCCTTAAGAAGCGAGACGCACATATCATATTGGCAAAGCTCCGAATCGTCTTCTTTGCAAATTTAACAAAACCAGAGATACGGAAAGATATGGAGGAATGTAGTGTCTATTTTCGCCGATTATTGCTAGCCGATTTGTGGGGTCCGTTGCTAATCAGTATTGGTATAGCAATACTGATGGAGCCTATCTCATTCAGTAACAATTCGGCTGTACTGTTGATTCTCCAATGGTTGGGCGCCATTCTCTTAACTGTGAATTGCAAATTGCTCGGTTGCAACGTGTTTGCTATGCTATCGCCTTGTCTCTCCTCTAGTTCCTACGTTCAAATGTTTTCCAACATTGGCTACGCCTCCTTCCCCATCTTCCTTCATAGTTGCGTTCATTGGTTAATTCACGCCAGACCGATCAATTTTCTAATAGGCCTTTCTGCTTCTGTGTGGAGTCTGCGGAGTTCGCACGCTCATCCTGTTTCTAATGTGTAGCAATCTCTGCGTTTCTGTCAATCCATATCGACAATCGTCGTCGCGTTCTGATTCTCTTCCCCTGTCTTCTCTATATGTTCTTTATCAGTTTCGCGAATATCTGCTTTGTTTGTTGCATCCAACAGCCCACACAAAAACAAATTGCCCTTCCATTTCCTTCGTCACTTTCGCGCTCGTGCTCGCCTCCACTTCATTTCGCTTCCTTCCCAGCGACAACGTCGTCAAATTGCGAGGCCGTTTCGATCCTATTCTTCACTCATCCGCCCTTTTCTACGCCGAGTCATCGGCGGCGAGTCTTCAAACCCTCCATCCCTGCAGTCCATACACACAAAATCCGACTCATATCGACTCATCACCTGGTTCTTCCTACCCATCACGCCTTTCCTTTCTCTCTCCTTCCATACACGCAATGCAAATGAAACAACCGCTGGCAGATCCGACACACCAGCAGCTCCGTTCCATCGCGGAACCCTCCGCAGATGCACAGTCGCTGATACCCGCTCTTCTGGATCTCCTTCAGAATCCGCCGCTCCTTCAGCTATTCAGTCACTCCTTCCCCGCGGTTCTACGTGCACCGGGAGATGGATCGACTCCTTCAAGCACGCGTCGATCTGCTCCTTCTCGTTCTCCATCGGCGTCGTCGAATGGATCAAAACCTCCGCCTTCCCGATCCACACTTCGCACCGCGCGATCATCTACCTCAAAACCCGCGGTTATCTCTACCTTCTGCACGAACTGGATCACCGGCTCGTTCTCGTCCAGCAAAAAAAGCCGGTGGATCTCCTGCACTCGCTTCCACTCCCCGAAATCCCGCGGGAATTGCAAGAGATTGTGGGTGACGCCGCAGAACGTGATCACAAAAAGCTGCTGGATGATTTTGAGGATCGTGGCGTGCGAGTAGAAGTCCAGCCGCAGGCTTTCTTCGATCAGCAGAACGAATTCGCCTGGAAGCGACTGCGCGTGATTCGGAAGCGACAGATCCAAAAAAAGCTCCGGATTCCGCAGCACTTTCCGCAGCAGAAGGAACCATTCCCGCGGGGAATTCACGTGCTGCATGGATCCAATCTTCAACGCATCGAGATTCTCGCCTTGCAGCAGCAAATTCGCGAGTCGATGATTCCCCATCATCTGCAGTTTCGTCAGAAGAAACTCCCGGATCGCTTTGTCTTGAATCGGCTTCCGCCGCCCCGATCGGAACTCGTTATTCGCGGGGAGGATCGCCAGGCGGTCCAATCCCCGCGGGGACAAGAACTCCGAAATGTACCGGTTCAGCTCCCCCACGCGGATCGTCACCACCAGCGGGTGTTTCACCGTGGACACGAAGCTCCCGCGGTTCTCGGGGAGTTTCGCGAGACTGTCCTGAACGATCTGCTGCACGGTGTCGACGGAGCGTTTCAGCGCGGCCTGGCAGAGGCAGAGCGGGCAGAGCACGTCGGGAGAAGGGCGAGTTGGCTCGACGCCGAGGCAGAGCGCGTGGAAAGAGAGCCGGCAGCGGACGCATTGAATGATTGGCTCGTCGTCGTGCGTCGAGTGACACACGCAGAAGTTCGTCACCGCGGCTTCCAACTGCGCCGCACAGTCGTGCAGGTCGATCTACTTCTGAGCGGGTTTCCACGTTTCCACCATGCGGGAGCGACGGATGAGGTCGAGAAGGGCGTCGCGTTTTTCGATTTGGCGGTCGGATTGCTCCAAAAACTGCTGCGTTTCGCGGATTAACCGCTCGCCCCGGTCGATCCACGGCGCGATTTCCGCGGTGTGCGTGCCGTAGAGCGAGAACAGCGCGAGCTGCTCCGCGTATTCCTTCAGAACGCTCAGCGAGAAGGGAGTCTCGCCGGTCATCGCGGAGGGATACTGCGATTCGAACTGCTTCAAGCGGTCCAATCCCTCGCGGATACTTTTCCCGCTCAGCGTCGTCCCGCGGATATGTGAAAACTAGGCATCGTGAGAGACGATCAAACGGCCTACGAGGGCTTCGACTTGCTCGAGCTGCGACCACGAAAACGCCTCGCGTTCCCGGAAGTAAAGGCCGAGCAAATACTCGTTGATGTACAGTTCGTCGTACGCAGACGACATGAAAACGCGGAGAATCCGCGGGAATTTCTCTCCCGAACCGTCCACTCGCAGCTCATTGGCGAGTTTCAGGGCGATAAACAAAACCACCAGCGGCACGTGATCGACCGTTTCGCCTTGATAGGTTTGAAACGCCTCGCGCGGCAGCCCGCCGACCAGAATGTTCTTTTCTTCGATTCCCGACTCGTCCGGGATCGCGGTGTTCAGCGAGAAATACTGTTCCTGCATGGCGGGAGCGAGGAGTTTCCCCTGGAGGGTGAGGAACTTTCCGAACCGCGGGATTTGGTCGTCGGGGATGGCGGGAAGACGCGTCTGCATGAGCTGAAAGGAGGTATCGGCGAAGAATTGGCAGAGGTTTCGGAACCGCACGAGATCGTCTTCCTGATTCATGTAGAGCATGCGATGTCGCGCGAAGTAGAGGAGTCTCTGAATGAATTGAATGAGAAGAGAGAGACGTCCGCGAAGGGTTTGTAGCGAGCGAACACCGCGCAGATCGACGAAACGATTCGATTGGTGCGGAGCGCGAGGTCGTCGAGATGCTTCAGCACGTCTTCGAACGAATCTTTCGTCAGCCAAGCAGCCAGCAGCGTACAGGAGCTCAGATTCACTCGTCGCTCGAGATGCTTTTGATACGACGACTCCGCGATGGGACCGAAAATCGACGGGAACGACCCAACTTTCTCGGCGCTGGGCCGCATAAACGGCCGTTTCTGCTCGGATTCCAGGTCTTCCAACTGGATTTTATCGAACGTCCACTCGTCGTTTCGCCCCGAGTTCAAGTCCGAATCGCCCCAATCCGATCGGAACGTGTACTGCCCCGCGGATTCCCAGTCCTGCTCGTCCCACACCTCGTTGCTCTCTAGTTCTCATCGAATTCGATCGAACCCACCTGGAAGATACGCGGCCAACGCCTCGTCGATTTCGGACTGGAAGCAAAACAGAAGATAGCGAACTTCGCGGATCCAATTCTCGTGGTCCGACTGGGAGTTACGCACGAAACCGAACCGAATCTACCTGGATCGTGCAGAGCTCCTTCTCTTCGCACTCGTAGTACAGCCGGCTTTTCATGTTGTCTCGCAGTTTGGCGCACATTTTCTGATAGCTTCGCCGCTCATCCGGAACGTATTCCTCGCTGCCCAATGAATGGTAGACGTGCAGCCATTCCTGCGCCCAGCGACGCCAGTCCGTGTGTGGGCGTTTCAATCTGCCGTTCAGGAGAAAAGGAAGAGGAAACAGATTGGGAGGAAGGGTTTGGGAGGGCTGGAAAGGCAGCGAGTTGGCCTCATTGCGCATTTTCTCGAGCGATTCGTACGAAATTCCTGCCCATCAATTCATTGAAAAAAACGAAAACGAGGCTGGTTTCGAATCGCCAAAACCCGTTCATTGTATTCGCGGACGGTTTCTACCTTCCTCTCCAGCTCCGTGAACTATTCCTCACTCCTTTTCGATGCAATCCACCTCGGCTCGACTCGTAACGCCGATTTTCCGCCCCATTTCGAGGAGTCGCTCGGCTTCTTCCAAGGGACCCTTCGATCCGAGACATTGTTTCACGCTCGCGAACCAATGGTGCGAGTCGTCGAAGAACTTCCGAAGCGTCGGCAGCGACGCGAAAGCGAGCTGTGTCTGCAGTGAACGGGGTTTGATCGAGGGTACTTTGCGGACGGAGCAGCCCTGCTTGATAATCGACACGTCTTCGATGATTTGCTTGAGGAGCTTCATGTCGTAGCTGATGGAATCCAACTGCTCGGAGGTGTAGCGGTTCCAATACGCGCAGATGATGCGTGCCGCCAACGAAGACAGCTCCGAAACCACCACCACGCGTTCTTGCGCTTCTTGGAATAGTGTTTCCAACTCCGAAACTTCCGTCTATTCGATAAAACGCTCAAAAACAATTTAAAAAAAACATTCGATGACGTTAACGTATCCAAAAACGACGATCGCCATTCCGTCTATGCATCAAATCCGCACGCCACTTCCACCTCCGCGTCGTGCAGCGCAATCAGCTCATGAAACTCCCCTTCAGGGAAACGAGCACGTTGCAACCGATCACGAAACTCCCCCAGTTTCTCCAGTGTGAGGAAATCGGGGTCGTAAAGTTCGGCCAATCGATTGAAGTCGAACACGTGACCCGGTTCGTATTTCAACTCGCTGAGTTCGATCGAATTCGACGGCTTGTGAACCGAATCGATCAGCTTGTGCATGTGTCGCAGAAACTCCTTCCCCAACGCCAATCGGTTCTATGTTTCTCCGTTTCCCCATTCCTACGTCGACGTTGTACAGTTCCTGCGGCTGCTGCACGCGGTCGCTGAGCAATTGGTCGTGAAATTCCTGCAGTTGGGCGATCGAAAGACTCACGAAATTGCGGCGAACGCGGCGGGAGATCGCGCGCGCGGAGCGAATTGTGTCGCTCAACTGGCGCGCTCCGTTGACGATGAGACGCTTCTCGAGAATCTGCGGTGAGACACAGAAACACAATTGAATACGAGGTTGTAGATGTCTTCGAGTTCTTCCAAACACGGATATTTCTATAAAGAAAAAGGCCCGATTTTTGGAGGTACAGTCGACGAAGAAAACGGCGCGCGCATAATCGCGAGTTTTTCATCGATGCGGTTCGCCAGCTCGATTTTCTTCCGCAGTTTCTCCAGTTTCCCCACTACGAGATCGAACTTCTGCGCACGATCGAGCAATTGGAGCAAGAAGCTAACGGAACTGAACGAATTCACGCTACAATTCAACGCACTCGATCGCCCCAACGCGCTGTCGATTTGCTTCTCCAGCTGCGATTTCCCGCGGATTAACTTCTCGAACACGAAGAAGTCGTTACAACGGGGAACCGAATCGGGGAAACTCCGCAGAATCCGGTTGAGTTGTTCCGTGGTGTGGAATTCGCCGCTTCGAATCACTTCGTGGACGCGGCTTCGCCACTCGTTTACCGAGTTTACCGCGGTTTTCACGCGGCACACCAGAGAGAAGACGCGGGAGCTGGGAGGGCCGTGCGATTCGATGAGGGATTGGGCGTTTCGGAGGAGTTCTTCGTATTCTTCGATGGTCATTTTGTGGTCCAAATGACTCTGGAAGTTTTCCCGCCATTTCGCCCAGAGTCTACGTGTGACCGAACAAACAGATTGCTGCTTTTGTGTTGAATCGCCCGATTCTTCGGTTTCGGAAAAGTTTAGCTGAATGAAAAGAAAAAAAAGAGAGCTACGATGTGGTAATGAATGTCTTGTCTGGCTTCGCTGCCGTGGACGTCTTCGATCTTCCAGGAAGTGCGTTCTGCATCTCCACTCATGGAGCTATCGAAGAATAGACGAGCCTGACTCGCATCGCCGTTGAATCTAGAAATAGCAAA